ACACGCACACTCACATACACACACACTCACACACATACACACACACACACACACATACACACCACACATCACACACACTCTCTCACACACACACACTCTCACACACACACACTCTCACACACACACACACACTCACACACGCACACTCACAAACACACACACACCACACACACACACACACTCACACACACACACACGCACACTCACACACACACACACACATTTTACGACATTTGCACTCTCTTGCTCCCCTTATCCACCTCCCACCCCCCATTTAACTTTTTGGCCCTGAAATGTCGGAGAGGAGAGGACAGCTTGGGCTGGGTGAGCCGGTGGAGGGAACGGGGAGGGGAGAGCCCTGCAGTGCCAGGTGACAGGGTGGCTGGCCAGGTGGCAGCAGTGAGGGCAGTGAGCTGGGGCGGCTCCTGGTGAGAGGAGGCCAGTAGGCGGCTGATGGGCCGAGGACAGGAGTGAGGAGGGTGGCGCCCGGGTTTGGGCTGGGTGACGGGAGGAGTAGAATTGCCGTGGTTGAGATGGGGACCCTGGCAGCGGTGGGTTTGGGCTGAATCTGAGGCCCAAGGCAGAGGCCAAGGCGTGCCGGGAGGAACCAGTGAGCAAGACGCCGAGAGCTCAGGCCGTGGGTGAAGCTGGGGCTGGCTGATCGCACCATAAGGTTGATTGTTATTTAACAGTGTGGGGCCAGGCACCGAGCCCTGCGCAGCTGGGAATCCAGGGATAACTTCTGACTCCCCAAACTTACCTAGCAGCCCACTGTGGGCCGGAAGCCTTACGACGCCACTCACTGCCAAATCATACCTATTCCGTGTGTGAACAGGGTGGGCAAAGGTAGGCGTGCAGTGAGTAACATAGTTTATGCTTATATTGTTATCTATTAATTATCTTTCTTCCCATATCAGCAACTCTCTCCCTCTCCCTTCCTCTCTGAAACCAGTAAAAATATACTTAAAAATATGTACACTGAGTGGCCTGATGATTATGCGTTCAGAGATAATAATGATCTGGCCACTCAGTGTATGTTTAAAGCAAAACCCTGGGGCCAGCTCTGCTCCTCGTTCATAGTGAGACGGACGGCAGTGCCTGTGAGAGCTGGCATCGCCGTGTGGACACCGCGCAGCCACCGCATCATCATCGCCCATGAGCACAGAGCTCCCAGCCAGCCGTGGCGCTAATTGGCTCCATTAGCACAGGGCCATATGCCACCAGCCAGTGCCCGCCGCCCTCCCCACCACGCGTGCAGGCGGGGCTCCGTCTGCGGGGACGGGCGGCCAGCCAGCAGCCTCGCAGCCGTCCCTGGGGGAGCCCGGCCTGTGCCTGCTGTCGGCCTACGGCCATGGGAGGGGCCTGGGCACAGGTGGAGCCTGGGCGGCACTTCATGCATGCAGACAGCTGGTCACCGGCCGCAGGCCTCCCTGGGCTGTCCCCTCGGGGAAGGAGGCGGGTGGGATGCTCCGGAAGCAGTTCTGCGGGGTCACTGAGGTCATACGGGAGTTGTCTCCCGGGACGTTGCTCAGCACTGTCACCGGGAAGGTGGTGCCATCCCGGAAGGGGTCAGACCGCCTCCTGAGCGGCCTGCCCTTCTCCCCGGGGCAGGCAGCAGGGCTCCCTCCGCCTGGGTGCCCGCCTGCCTCACAGCTTCGCTGGCTCCGGGCTCGGGCCTTGGGGTCCCGCTGGAGTTGGTCCCCGGAGCACCAGGGCAGGGGGCGGCTCTGGGAAGGGCGGCCAGTGCGTGTCTGAGACGTGCGTCTCCCCTCCCGCAGCTGCTTCCCTCCGCGCTGTGCCAGGAAAGCACCGCAGGTGAGAGCAGCGACCATGGCCGCTGCGTCCCAGGGAAGGTCTCCTCTTTCTGTATGTCTTCCCCGAGGACCTTCCCAGAGAGAGAGCAGAGCGGCACCTCAGTGAGAGACACACTGCTGCCTGCCTTACCTGCCCCCTGGGGTCCAGCCTGCAGCCAGGCGCGTGCCTTGATGGGGTCGCACTGGCACTCTCAGGCACGGACGGCGCTCAGCATGGCCCCTGGCCGGCCGGGAAGCTCATTCCCACGGACGGGCCGTGGGCAGGTTCGGTGTGTGCCCTCAGAGGCGAGAGGACGGATGAGCTGTGTGCAGGATTGAGCCCTGGCACGGCATCCTGAGTCTGGCTGAACCTGACCATTGGGGGGCAGCAGCCGGCCAGCATGTCCTTGTCCTCAGGGGCTTCGCTGCCTCCTGGCCCCCTCTCCTGACCGCCGGGCTGGCGGCGGGTTCGCTGCGCTGGCGGACCTGGTGCTCCCTGAGGTCGCAGGAGGCAGCGCTGGAAACCCCGTCTGCAGCGTGTTCACAGGGCGAGTGTGAGCACAGCTGCGGAGCTGGGGGCGGCCATCTCCAAGAACCGTAACCGAGTCCTGTCCTGGGGGAGGGGGCAGCAGGCCCACCCTGCGGCGTGCCAGTGGGACCAGTCCCAGCCTGGTGAGGGCCCGGGGAGGTGTCCCCCGTTCCATGCCTTCTCCTGTGCCCACATGTCTCCGGGAGGGTATTTTCACCCCGTTCTCCCGTGTGGCCCCGCCTCCCACCCTCCTGACAGCCGCTGGCCGGGGTCGGGCATCCGAAACGCAGTCACTCAGGGGCTGTGGGAGGCAGAGCAAATGGCCGCAGCCGCCTCTCCGAGCTGCCGCAGGAAGCTCTGGGGTGCAGGGGTTGAGGTTCACTCAGGGGGAGAGGCTGGTGTCTCCAGTCCTGTCCCCTGTCCTGACCCGCTCCTCCTCCTCTCCCCCCGAGGCGAAGCTCCACCTCGGCTGTGGTAGGCTCGGCTGCTTGTCGCACACAGGAGGCTGGGCGTGCGTGCCTCTCAGCGGAAGTGTGTGCGAGGAAACACGCACTGCGTCAGCTCCTGGGAATGTCTGTCACAGCCTGGCCCGGAACCCTGTGACCCGACCTCCCTCCCCTCCCTCGCTCCCATGGGAGTGCGGGGTCCTGGTCTGCAGCCCAGGATCAGGCTCCCGAGGCGAGAAGCGGCCTGGGTGCGGTCGGGGCACGCACATCACCATGACCGGGAAAAGCGTGTGTGGCTCTGGGTTTCACCTCTTGCTCTTCACCAAACAATGGAAAGATGTTTTCTGTTAGGGCTTGACTCATCCATCCACATATTAATCTGCCTGTGCAAGTCATGATATCTTCCCCAAAGAATGCGCTCTGCGGACTGCCACAGCCGTTCCCGGCAGACCTTGCTGCCTCTGAGCAGCCGAGCGGCAGCTTCTCAGGACTCGGAACGCACATGGCTTCCTGGGGCCTGGGGGGCGTGGGGGAGTCGGTGCTGAGGCTGAGCGGGGGCGGTCTGTCCTGGCCTGCCCTGTGACAGGAGAGCGACAAGGCGAGGCCTGCTCTCTCCCCTCCGATCCTGATGAAACCAGACCGGTCGGCCGGTCTCCCCGCGCTGCCTGCACAGAGCTGTTACCCGCACTGTGGCCAGGGCCCTGTGCTCAGCCGCGGTCACTCATGGCCGCCTGGGGTCCACGTCTTCCCCCAGAGAGCACCCCGCCTGCTCAGTCTTCTGGCCTCCCGGCGGCCCAGCCAGATAAGCGGAGGCCGGGACGTGTTTGCGGAGCGGCCTGCCTCCCGCCGTAACCCTATAAGGGAAGGTATGCTGGTGCCGTGCCGCTGGCAGCCCCGTGCTCCCTGCTGCGTGAGTTGTGTCCATCACTCAGCCCTCTGAGTGCTCCCATGGCGCCTGCCCTCAGCAGAGGCCTGCCCAGGTGCCACCAGCTGAGAAGGCCCTGCCAGGCAGCCCTGCCCCGGCTGGCTGTGTTCAGAGAATGTCACACGGAGTAGTCAGTGAGGGGACGGGCTTGGCATGTCTCTCTGCAACTTCCTCTGACAAACAATCCCAGGAATCTGCTCTGTTACGAAGATCTAGGAACCAGCTGTGCGGGGACCCAGCAGGCGGCGTGCGAGGCCGTGTGGGTGCAGAGCGGTCCCACGGAGGCCCACACTTCAGACTGTCCCCCGCCCCCGATGGGGGAGGAGACAGACTCACGCAGCCACAGCGTGGTTAGGCCCGAGGAAGGTGGGCCGAGGTGCTGGTAGCCGAGCTGAGCGTGGACGGTAAAAGGCGGGGTGGGGTGTGTGTGTGGGGACCAGACAGGGGCGTACAGGTGCGGGCGCACCGCAGACAGCAGCAGGGAGCGCCCAGGTCGCTGCGGGAAGCAGCCTGATGCTTGCGGGGAGACAGCCTCATTCAGAAACACTAAGGGGCGCACAGGGCGGGAGGGGAAGGAGACGGGCGGGACAAGGAGGCAGCGGCCGGTCAAGGGCAAGTATCTCAGTTGCAGGCTTGATTCCCGGGCCTGGCTAGGGCATAGGTGGGAGGCAAGCAATCGATGTATCTCTCTGTCTCTCCCTCTCCCTTCCACTCTCTTAAAACATCAATGGAAAAGTGTCCTCGGGTGAGGATTAACAAAAACAAACCAGAACTTGCTGATGATCTAATCTTTCTGATGATTGAAAGCTTTCCGATGATTTAAATGTGCTGACATAGTCCGCATTGTGGCCATGAGGGCGGGGCCTCCCCATCAAACCTGCACTGCCCTCGCCCTGGGGGGAGGGGGGGGGCAGCCCTGCAAAGCAGGCGGGCGTGGCTTCCAAAACCGGGTCAGAGTAGCTATGGAAAACTGTTTGGCATTTGAGATTCCTTCTCCTCTTTGACACGGGAATTTAATGTGGTGCAGACGATGATGGTGATGTCAGCCTGCCTCCATCTGCTGGCGACGTGGCCGGGGCGCCTCCCCGCTGAGCGTGCCGCCTCGGAGCCGGTGCGGAGCAAGCAGCACGCGTGCGCGGAGTGTGCACGGAGGAGGGCGCTCACGCCGCTGGGGCCTGGCTCCGGCAGACTGCTCCGTGGGAACGCCGCATTCCGCCAGCAAGGAGGGCGAGGCTCTGAGCCAGGCCTGGCATCTGTGTTTGCCATTTGAAATCCGTGAGTCTAATGTCATCTCCTCCTCGTTTCAGCCATGGAGGAGCTAATAGTTGAACTGCGTCTCTTCCTGGAGCTCCTGGACCACGAATACCTAACGTCCACTGTCCGGGAGAAGAAGGCGGTGATCACAGACATCCTGCTCAGGGTACAGGCCTCCAGAGGTGCGTGCCCCCCCCCCCCCCCCCGCCCCGGCCTCACACACCTCTGACCCCTTTTCTAACGCGCAGTCCTAGGTTTAGTAACGTGTGCGTTTGTTTAATATGAAGTTGTTAAAAGTCTTGCTGTATGCCCAGTGCAAGCCTTTAAGGAGATAAAGGCACAGGGGGGTGTTGGGGGCCCCCGGGGCACCCCACCCTTTGGAGATTCCCAGGAGGACTCAGCGTACAGAGGGGCCTTCTCAGGCCAGGGTTTGGGCATTACCGGGGAGGGCAGCTGCACAGGCAGGTGCCCGGGACAGACCGCGTGGTCCGGAGGGGCTGTGTACAGCCCCCTCACGCGTTGCTGGCTCCTCCACTTCCTCCTGGTGGGCGGCAGTAGTTCTTAGCCTTATCCCGCCACAGGCTCTCCTCGGTGAGATGGAGGAGAATGCACTGCCCTGCAGGGGCGTGAGGGTCAGAGCCGTAGGTGAAGGGTCAGCGGGGCCGAGGCGGTAAGTGCGTCCTCCTCACGCCTGTGCTTGCTGATCCCCAGGTTCTGAAGGCAGAGACCACGCTCCGAAGCAGGAGGCCCCCAGCAGCCTGCCGGCGCCGCCCCAGATGCCGCTGCCGGAGATCCCGCAGCCCTGGCTGGTGAGTGGCCGCTCTGCCGCCCGGTTCTGGAGGGCGGGGACGCCTCGGTGGTGTGGGAGCTGCGGGAGCAGCAGGTAGGAGGCCGCACCCAGGAATCAGGGGCCTCAGCGCCAAGTGTCGGCGTGGAGGCTGGTGACCGCTCACTCTCTGGGTCAGCGGCCGGAATGCCGCCGTCTGAATCGCCGCAGTGCTGCTTCCGGGATAAAGTTCTTCAGAAGAAACACGCGTACGTGTTCCTGGGACGTGTGTGTCACTGACCGTGCGCGTCCGAACTGCTCCGGGATACTGCCGCCGTGGCGGTCGGGGCCTGCTCCCAGGGTTTCATGTGCGGCCCCCCCCCCCCCCCCCGCCCTTCCTGCCTCCTCACTGCTCCCCAGGGGGTAGACGTCGGTCCAGGTCTGAGCGGAGGCGGTCCAGGACGGCTCTCTCTCGGGTCCGCGGTCTGAGTCCCTAATGCTCGCTCCGGGCCGCAGCTGCTGAGCCGAGTGTGCGCAGTGATGGCCTCGTTGTTTATTTGTTTCTTCGTTTTCTTTTGTTGTTATTGTTTGTAATTGATTTTAGAGAGAGAAAGGGAGAGTGAGAACAATAGAAGCATCGATGAGGTGGAATCATTGATCGGCTGCCTCCTGTACGCCCTCCACTGGGGATAGAGCCCACAGCCTGAGCATGTGCCCTTTGCCAGGAATTGAACCGTGACCTCCTGGTTCATAGATCGACACCTGACCACTGAGCCACACTGGCCGGCTCCCCTCTTCTCTCTGACTCGGTCCTGGGCACCCCTCACTCCCTCAGTCCCCACTTCCCTGGTGCCGACCCGAATCGTCCCGGGGCTCCAGCTCGGGGTGGGCCTCGGAGAAGCCAGGCTGGAGACTCGCGGGCAGCGGTGTGGGCACAAAGAGGCGAGGCACCTGTCAGTTCGGGGGGGGGGGGGGGGTCCCCGGTCCCGCTTGGGAAGGTGACTTGGAGCCAGAGCGGGTTTGCTAGGCGCTCCCGGGACACGGGCCGCACGCCTGGTCCCTGCCGGCGGCTGTGCCGGGTGCGGGCGCGTGGCCGGGCTGGCCGGCTGGACAGTGAGCGGGGACTCACGGAGACCCATCGGGCGCGGACGCCAGCGCCTCTCCCAGGGCGAAGCTCTCCGCAGAGGCTTCCCGGGGGGAGGGGGGGACGCGCCCCTCAGTGCGGGCCCAGCGCTCCAGTGACGCTCTGTCCCCTCCGTCCCCAGCCCCCCGACAGCGGGCCGCCCCCGCTGCCCACGGCCTCGCTCCCGGAGGGCTACTACGAGGAGGCCGTACCGCTGAGCCCGGGGAAAGCGCCGGAATACATCACGTCCAGTGAGTGTCGGGGCCGCGGCCGGTGGGGAGCCGGGCTTCTGTGGGCACGGGCGGGCCCGGGCACCGAGGGCGTGGGGGGGGCAGAGAGGGCGCGAGGGGCAGGTGTCCTCCTACCCCCCACCCCGCCCCTGGAGCTCGGGCTGACTCCGCGGAGGGAGAGCTCATGCTGTGGAAACAGCGTCCAGGAGACACGCTCCCGGAGGCAGAGGGAAGGGCTTTCTGGGGCTGTCCTTATGCCGTGGGGGGGTGTGTGTGGGGAGGGGGCACTGGGTGCAGGGATCTCCCCGAGGCTCCTTCTGGGCAGACAGGTTTCCTGGGACCTTTCTGTTGAGTGGCTGTCTCGGCGAGACTCCCCTCAGCTGCCGCCTGGGGAGCTCAGAGCACCCCTCCGCGGTACCCCCGCTCTCACCGATCCGGGGCGGCGTGGGGACACGGCGGCCCTCACAGCGCCCAGCCTGTTACAGCTCTCGTCGGGACCCTGCTGTCCTCACGGTCATCACCATTCCCAGCACAGAGGCCAGCGCCCGTCCCCCCTGCGGATAGAGGGGGCACCCTGAGCCCAGGGGGCCGTCTGTGCGAGGCCTCACTCCCTCACTGTTGACAGATTACGACTCGGATGCCATGAGTAGCTCTTACGAGTCGTACGACGAGGAGGAGGAGGACGGCAAGGGGAAGAAGACGCGTCACCAGTGGCCCTCGGAGGAGGCCTCCATGGACCTGGTGAAGGACGCCAAGATCTGCGCCTTCCTGCTGCGCAAGAAGCGCTTCGGCCAGTGGACCAAGCTGCTCTGCGTCATCAAAGACACCAAACTGCTGGTAAGCCCGCCGCCGGCCGTGTGCAGGCGCCCCCGTGACAGACGCAGCAGCGCTGGCCTCGGCCAAGGGGAGGGACCCACAGGCCTCGGCGCTGGTGGAGAGCACGCAGGGCCCTCGCCGGTGGCTGGCGGACAGGCCGTGTGAGCCATGCAGAGGGTCCGCCCCTCCCTCAGGCAGGCAGCGGGCAAGCCCTCCCTCTGGGCAGTATCTGCGGTGTGTGAGGGGAGGGCACAGGCTGAGCTGGCCAGAAGTTGCGGGATGGATCCTCCCCTTTGTAGTGAGTCAGTGGATTCCTCAAAGCCAGGTCAGAGGGCCGGGCGGCCGCGCTGGGCCAGGGAGCGTGGCCAGCACAGGAAATTATTTTGGAAAGCTAAGGGCCAGCTTCCTTCCTTCCTTCCTTCCTTCCTTCCTTCCTTCCTTCCTTCCTTCCTTCCTTTCTCTCTTTCTCTGTCTTTCTCTCTCTTTCTCTCTCTTTCTCTCTCTGTCTCCCTCCCACCCCCCGTCATTCCTTTTAGGAGAGGCCGAGTAGGAAGCGAGGGTAAGTGACGGAGAGGCAGGGCTGGACACACAGACGCTCTGCTGGGTGGTGCTCGGCAGGAGCGCTCAAGAGGCCAGCATGGTCATGGCGGCCCCTCGCTCTTCCCTCCCTGCTCCCACCTTCCCCCAGCCTTGGGCACCTTGTATTCCTAGAATTAGGATGTGCAGAGCGTGTTTTTGCTTTTTGTTCTTCCTTCAAATGAACCGTGAGAGAGAAAATCACTCAAAACTTCGTCATTGAAAGAGAACATGCTGTTTCTGTGTGTCACTCTGCAGTGGGCAGCGAGCTCTTAGAGATTCACCTGTGAGCTGTGGGGATCGCATTTCACTGGATTCTTAGGACGTGGAATACTTTTTAGTTAGTAGTTTTATTCAATTATTTCTGAAACACAGCGAGAGTACATGTTTTTTCCACATGTGTGGCCTAAAAACTCCCAAATTTAGAAGATGCCAAAAATGACGGGGGAATTTTAAAGTAAAGAGTGGAAAAAAGGTGAGGAAGATCTCCCCAAGGCTCCTTCTGGGCAGACAGGTTTCCTGGGACCTTTCTGTTGAGTGGCTGTCTCGGCGAGACTCCCCTCAGCTGCCGCCTGGGGACCTCAGAGCACCCCTCCGCGGTACCCCCGCTCTCACCGATCCGGGGTGGCGTGGGGACACGGCGGCCCTCACAGCGCCCAGCCTGTTACAGCTCTCGTCGGGACCCTGCTGTCCTCACGGTCATCACCATTCCCAGCACAGAAGGACCTGCCCCGATGACCCTGTTGACAGAGAAAAGATTAGCAGTGACAGCAAAGCAAACTTTGCTTTCCACGTCTGAGCAGCACGGAAACTGAGGCCGAACAGGAGGCCGGCTTCCTGTTCCGAGCCCAGTGTCTATGCCCTTCCGGATGGAGCCTGCTCCCTCTGCCCAGAGCCCCCAGGCCTCGTGGCCCTGCTCCCACGCTGCAGCAGCTGGCAGAGGGCTTGTCCCCAGTCACGCTCCCTTCCCAGCGGCTCTGCCTCCACTGCGAGGGGGCTCTGCCTCCACTGCGAGGGGGCGCTGTGAAGGCCCAGCCTCGGGGGGGCCTGATGGCTCCGAGCCGCGGCCCCACGCCGCCTTCCAGTGCACGCATTGCAGCCTCTTCCCCGCCGGCCCTGCCTCTGCCCCCGCCCCGCGGCCTGCTCTTGGGCCCCCGCGTAGAGGCCCGGCTGCTCTGCCTCCAGCTTCCGGGGCCCGCAGCGACCTCCGAGGCCAGCTCAGCCGCTCCCTGCGGACACAGCCGAGGCGAGGCAGGGGGCTGAGAGAAAACACAAGCTGTAGCGTTCCTTTCTGTCCTGTGCTCCGTTCCCTTTCCACCTACACAGAAGGCAGAGAGCCCGGCCACGGGGCCTTTATAGCAGTCTGAGCTGCACTGGCCTAGGTGTGTGTTTTGTTCTTCCCTTTTATTTATTTGTTTATTTAGCTTTTAAAAATGTATTTCTATTGATTTCAGAAAGGTAGGGAGAGGGAGAGAAAGATACAAGCATCAGTGATGAGAGAGAATCATTGATCAGCTGCCTCCGGCACGCCCCCTATTGGGAATCGACCCTACAACCTGGGTATGTGCCCTTGACTGGAATTGAACTTGGGACCCTTCAGTCCGCTGAGCCACACGGCTAGGACGGTTCTTCCTTTTTAGACAGGCAGCATCATTTGAGACGTTTTAAAAAGCGGGTATATTCCATCCACGTGTCGTTCAAGAAGCATGGTTTTGGAACTGCAGATGATAACTTCTGAAAATAGGCCTCCATGTACCCATTCCACCTCAATAGATGGCTTAGAGCAGTGGTCGGCAAACTGCGGCTCTCGAGCCACATGCAGCTTTTTGGCCCCTGAGCGTGGCTCTTCCACAAAATACCACGTGCAGGCGCACACGTACAGTGAGACTGAAACTTCCTGGCCCATGCGCAGAAGTCGGTTTTTGGCCTGGGGGAGTCTATTTTGAAGAAGTGGCATTAGAAGAAGTTTAAGTTTAAAAAATTTGGCTCTGAAATGAAATTTCACTTGCTGTGCTGTTGATACTTAGCTCTGTTGACTAATGAGTTTGCCGACCACTAGCTTAGAGGCAAGCGTAGGACTCACCCAGGTTGGGGCTGAGTCCCGGGTTGGCTGCGTGTTCAGTCACCTGACATCGGCAAGGTGCATAACAGTTACGGGTTACTTAACGAGGGCCCTATACCAGGTTAACTCACTGCAGAACAGGCGCCTGTGAGGGGGAGGTGCGGAAGTGCACCTTGCTACTTGGGAGCAGGTGTCATTCTAACCATTTCAGAAACTCAAGGAAGCACCGGTCGCTCCTTTACCCACGAGGAAACGGGCTCAGGAAACGTGGCCAAGGCCAGAGCCAGCGCCGTGGTCACAGGTGGACCCAGATGCCGGGTCCTCTCTCCACCAGCGGCCGCGCTGTGCGGACGCTGGTGTGTGTGCTGTGTTGATGTGTGTGTTGTATGTGCTGTGTTGATGTGTGTACTCTTACTGAGGTCACCCATCTGCCTTCCGGAGAGAGGGTGGAGAGGAGGCAGGGGGATGCCGAGGGCAGGCTGTGGAACAGAGTGCAGGCCGTGCGTGTCAACAAACCTACTATCTGTGTTCATGGAGCCTCCTGCGGAAGCGTGTTAGATCAGCCGCCAGCACAGGGCCCTTCGGCCGCCGCGGGCCATGTCAGTGATGGCGGAGACTTTGCTGAGTGCATGGGAGGGTGCATTTTCACGTGCCCGGGGACGCGTGTGGGGGTGGAGCGGGTGGCAGGGGAGCCTGCAGTCCATTTTCCAATTGCTAGCACCCCCGTTTGACGAGACTTCCAGGCGCTGCGCCCTACCGCCTTTTCGTTCTGCCACGTGCTGTCAGCCCCGGCCTGCCCCGCGGGCCCTGACGAGGCCTCTCCTGTCCCGCAGTGCTACAAGACCTCCAAGGACCAGCAGCCGCAGATGGAGCTGCCCCTGCCCGGCTGCAGCGTCGCCTACATCCCCAAGGACGGCAAGAAGAAGCAGCACGAGCTGAAGATCACCCCGCAGGGCACCGACCCCCTGGTCCTCGCCGTGCAGAGCCAGGAGCAGGCCGAGCAGTGGCTGAAGGCAAGTTGAGGGTGCACGTGTGTGTGAGTGTGTGTGTGTGTGTGTGTATGTGTGTGCACGTGTGTGTTTGTGAGTGTGCATGCATGTGTGTACAGATGCCAAAAACATGAGCTTCTGAGCTGGTCCTCGGCAGCTGCTCTGAGATGGGCCTTATTTCAGTCTGCGCTTTCTCAGGCAGCGCGGACATGGCTGGCCTGCACAGTTCGGTCCTTGGTCGTGGGGTGTTCTGATGACTCAGGTCAATCACTGTCACGCGTCTCCTCAGGGACATGCTGGCCCCACCGGCAGGCCGCTTCTAGCTCCGTCTTCCTTGGGTGTTCCGGTTTCACTGTATTGTGTCCGGGATGCAGGTTCTTTTGTGTTTATTCTGCTTGGGGTTCCTCAGGCGTCTGAGATCTGGATTGTCATCACTCTAAGGGTCAGGAAATATTTCAGCCATTTCTCTTCAAATATAGCTTTGCCCCATTTCCTCCCCTCCTCCTGACAGCACTTAAATATCTGTGAGGCCTTTGCACTGCATTCTCCGTCGTCTTATATTTACTGTCCCCTTTTTAACAAAATTCTTAGTCTGGTCACCTTCTTGTCACTTTCCAGCTCACTGTTTCTCTCCAGCTGTGCCTGCTCTGTTGTCAAATCCGCCCCCGTTCCGTGTGCTCCTCATTTCGGCTGTGGGAGTTTTTAGTTCTAGAGCTTCCAGTTGTTTCTTTCAGGAATGTTTGCTGAGCCTTGTACCTCCTCAGCAAGCACGCGGCGGGCCTGGCGTCAGGCTGGGCTTGGCGGAGGGTGTGGGCCGCTCCTGGCTGCGCGGTGTGAGCTCTTGTTCGCCTGCCCGTCTGCTTGTGCCGTCACCTGGTGCTCATGCTGCTCACTGTATTTGGGGGAAAAACATTATTTCAATGATTTTGTACATCAACTTCATTGAGGTACATCATACAGTTTGCCTGTTAAAGTGTGACTCATTGTTTTTAGGACAGTCACAGTTGTGCAACCATGGCCATTAATCTAGTTTCAGAACATTTCATCACCCCAAGGAGCAAATCCGCATTCACCGCAGCAGTCACTGCCCGCCCGCCCGCCCGCCCGCCTGCCCTGCCTCTGTCCTCACCCTGGCCTGCCGGTCCCCGCTCCGGACAGGCTTTTTTCACTTAGCGCTGTTTCCGGGGGTCATCCATGTTGCCACGTGTATCAGCATTCCATTCCCCTGTATTGCTTTTTCTGTCAAAGCTGAGAGACTGTTGTTTAACCCAAAGTCCTGAAGGTTTCTACCCGCGTCTCCTCCTCACAGCTTTATGCAGTGTGAGCTCTTAAATGCAGGCGGTGGCCCTTCCTTCCCCATGTGGCTGGGTGACCGCATTGCCATCCACTTACTGCCGAGGCTTCCAGGCCTTGAAATGGGGCCTGAACGCAACCACCGGTGTCTGAGTGAGGCGCACACCTGGTCAGTGTGGGAGCATGAGGATGCAGCCAGGGCGGGCTCGGCACGCTGCCAGGTCCTGCCATGTGTTTCTCTCCGTCTGGTCTGTGACTTCCACTACGGCAGCTCTTGCCAGGACTCACTGAGTGTGTGTGTGTGTGTGTGTGTGTATGCATGTGTGTGTGAGTGTGCGTGCATGTGTGAGTGTGTGTGTGTGTGTGTGTGTGTGTGTGTGCAGATGCCAAAAACATGAGCCCTTTCCAGGGCGGGCCGGTCAGAACAAGAACTAGCAGCAGGCGGTCAGGTTGCCTGAAGAATGTGCAGAGGCTGTGCTTCAGGGAGGAGGGCTCACGCTGAAAGCAAACAGAACGCCCAGAACATAACACAGTCTGGTTCTGGAAGGGCTTGTGATTCTGAACTTGGACTCAGTTCTTTAGGTACATATTGGATTCTCCCAGGACATGGCTCTGTGCGATGGGACCAGCAGCACCAACACCTCACGTGTAGCTGTTCACGGCACTGGGTGCTCACCCTTTACAATTTCTTCATGAGCTCTGCGGGCACTGTGGCCACGAGGGGGCTCAGAGCAGAGAGACAGTGTCACGGAACACCTGCTGTGCTCCCACAGGCCGCCCTAGGACAGGGGGAGCCTGACCCGTGGACAGGGGGAGCCTGACCCGTGGACAGGGGAGCCTGACCCGTGGACAGGGGAGCCTGACCCGTGGACAGGGGGAGCCTGACCCGTGGACGGGGGCGCTGACCCGTGGACAGGGGGCGCTGACCCGTGGACAGGGGGGCGCTGACCCGTGGACAGGGGGGTGCTGACCCGTGGAACAGGAGGTGTGCGGTGCTCCTGGTGCTCTCCCTGTGCCTGGGGCATGGCTGTGGCTTAGTCTGGGGAAGGGTGAGTCATCTGACCCCGGATGTCTGAATACCCGCTGTGGCCCAGGCTGTCTGGGCTCCGGTGCCCTGAATCACTGCTCCAGGAACTGAGCTCCTGCAGGGAGGGAGGGAGGCCCGGTATGGAGGTCACAGATGTGAGGTCACAGATGTGAGAGGTCACAGATGTGAGAGGTCACAGATGTGAGAGGTCACAGATGTGAGAGGTCACAGATGTGAGAGGTCACAGATGTGTGGTGAACCGGGAAAGGTGACTCAATGGCTGAGTGTCCTCATCCGGTGGCCTTGGATTCCTTGGTTCCTGGAGCCTCCTGGTGGGAAGCAGGCAGAGCCAGGGGCCAGAGGTGACCTGGGGCGAGGGTGACACTGTAGTGACAGGACAGCCGGGGGGAGGCAGGGGTGGGGGGCTGTATTTGTGCTGCGGGCCTGCCCCCTTTTGAAAAAGCGTTTTCCCTGAGGATTTCCAACCCAAGCAGAGGGCTGGGTGGCGTGCCACCGGACGGCAGGCCTCTCTGCTTCTGTTCTCGCTCCTTCCTGTTTCCGTGGGAGTCCTGGGTGCAGTCTGCCTCCTCGCCCCCCCTTTTCCTCAGTCACTTTCTTCGGCTGCCGTCCGGCTAGGCGCGGAGACCGGCCTGCGGAGGCGCAGCGCTCCGAGGCATGAGCACCGCGTACAGCAGGACAGACTGCACTCGCCGCGCACACGGCCCGCGCTGACGGAGCACACGTGGCCGGTGTGGCGCGTGGAGAGCAGCCAGACCGGGTCCCCCCGTGGGAGGGCAGGGCGGGCTTCCTGGTCACCTGAGACTGAGGGGTCTGGAAGGACGGGTCCTGCTTCGCTGAGAGAAAGGGCACAGTCCTCTGGGTCATGCCCGCCCACAGGCCCCTCCAGGAGGCGGCAGGGGCACGCGGGGCCGTGCGGCCGGGCGGGGTGGGCTCGCCCTGACACAGGCGGAGAGGCAGCTGCTTGCTGCGTGCATGGCGGCTGTCTCCCAGGTCTCTGCGGTTTTCCCGCAGGACAGCCGCCCTCACGCGGATTTGTCTCACTGCGCACGGTCAGCATTTAAGGCTGACGGGGAGCTCAGGTCCCGCCGGTGGCCCTGCAGCACTGTATCTGGTCTGTGCTCCTCCGGGGGGGGGGGGAGGCCTGAGGGGAGATTGCTCAGCCCCCTCGGAGGAAGCGGCAGATCTGGGCTTGGTCCCCCGTCTGTGCCCAGTGCCCAGGAGGCCCCCATGATCTCTTTCCCCAGAGCAGCCGCCTTTCCGGAGATGGTCGTAAGAACACGGCAGCAGCCAGCACGGCAATGGCTGTCCCGCCTGAATGAACCAAAATTGTACCTAATTCTTGTCAGGGGGCAGCAAACAGAGCCTGCCTTCGGGTCTGCAGAATCTCAGAATCCGCTCACGTGCCTGAGATGGAAAGGTTGAACAGCGCTCCCTGGAGAAAAGACAAAAGCTTGTTTTCAGATCAAATGAAACTTTGCTCTGAACTGAAGACTTGGGGGCACCCTGGGGAGGTGAGGAAACCAGACCTGCCGGGAAGAGTTGTGACGTCAGCGAGAGAGAGGAGAGAGAGAGGAGAGAGAGAGAGAAGTGGAGGGCCCGTTTCCCGGGAGACGCGGGGCAGCCGCTCCGGCCGGCCGTCCCTCCCAGCTTCCGGGGACAAACACGCAGGCTCGCGGCTGCTGCTTTCCCTCCCTGCTCTGGTCTCAGATGTGGACATTCCTTCTTTCTTGTAGTTTTTCTTCTTCTTTCTTCTTTTTCTCCGAGAACAGCTGAGCAGCAACATGGCTGGCCGCGCGTCCCGGCCTGTGCGCCCCTGGCCGCGGGCCGGGGAGCGGGCGGGGAGCGGGCGCTGCTGAGGTCAGGCTGCAGAGCCGCGCGGGGCTCTCGGATTTGGGCGTGGCTGTTCTGACCGGAGGCGCTTGGGTGGAACTCAAATGGCAGCTTAGTTCCCAAAAGAAGGGAGACATTTTGAAAGACCCGCCTGGTCACTCTTCTGTGGGAAGAATGTGAGCCGCTGACCCAGGACTTGTCTCATTTACTGCTCACCCCCAGCTGTCAGAGGCCCCTGCCTACCTGCCCAGCCCGGGGCTGCTGAGGCGGGTCCGAGGGGACCGTGGCAGCCAGGGGGGCGGGGGCGGAGGGGATGGGGTGCAGCTCAGTGCCCCCGCAAGGCCTCTCTGGGCCTCTTGCTCTAAGTCAGCCACGCCTGCGGCTGAAGGCCACGTTGCTCTTCGCTGTCCCATTGCCTGCGTTTCCTGGTGACGCTCCGTGTTCACGACGGCCCCTCACGCTTCCTGGAACGGAAGCCCCGTGAGAGCAGAGCCCTCCATACCTGTTCCCTTGTGGCCCAGGGCCCAGGGCAGCGCCAGGAGTGGGGAGACAGCCGTGAGTGGGCGACTGAAGGAACGGACGGTGGCCCGGCGGCTGGAAGGGAAGCCCAGGCTGGGGCCTGTGGGCTCCCCCCAGGCCGCGTGCTCCGCTCCTCTCGGGCTCCCCGTGGAGCGCACTGTCTGGGCCCTCACCAGCGCCCCGCTCGTTGCAGGTGATCCGTGAGGTGTACAGCGGCGGTGGCGGGCCCGCGGATGCCGAGTGTCCCCCGCCGCCAGGCTCCCCGGTGCACAAGGCAGAGCTGGAGAAGGTAAGGCGCGTGCTTCTTCGGGGGAGTGGGCCCCTCAGAGCTCTTTCCGTCCCTGAGCATCCTGCACGGCCAGCTGGGAACTGTCCCGCTCCGTGCATCCGGCGCCCACAGACGGGCGTTAGCTGGCCGTTGACGGCTGCGTGGTCGGCTGTCTCATTCCCACCTGGAGGTGAGAAGTGGGCGGAGGTGTCAGGGCCTTGCTCAAGGTCCTGGCTATCCCATGGCAGCGTGGAATCTGAGCTCAGGTCTGTGTGTCCCGGGGTACAGCCCGCACTGCCCGAGCGCCCTCCCCACGCTGTATCCTCGCAGGCCAGGCTGCCTTCCCTGTGCCCGCTGCTGTGCCCATGTTCCTTGTAGAAGCACCAGTGACCGCCCCGCAGGAGGGCAGGGCCAGCCCTTCTTGTCAAACGTGAAGCTGTCGCTGTCATCCCACACACCCAGCTTGGTCTGATTACATCTCCTCTCCCTGGAGACCCCGGGCTGTCCGCACGCAGGTCCTGCGGCTGCTGTGTCCCAGGAGCTCTCTGAGGCCTCCCTGCTCAGCCCCTGCCCATGAACAGATCCTTCTGTCCCTTCTGATTGAGTCAAGGTTCTCTGGAGAAACAACTAATGGTGTGTGTGTGTGCATGTACGTGTATGTACTTAGCTATATGTATATGTGCGTGTGTGTGTTTATATATGATTTACATAAGGAATTTTAAAAAATATATATATTTTATTAATTTTTTACAGAGAGGAAGGGGGGGAGAGAGAGAGTTAGAAACGTCGATGAGAGAGAAACATCAACCAGCTGCCTCTTGCACACCCCCTACCGGGGATGTGCCCGCAACCAATGTACATGCCCTTGACCAGAATCAAACCCGGGACCTTTCAGTCCGCAGACCGATGCTCTACCACTGAGCCAAACCAGTTCCGGCTACATAAGGAATTTTTTTATGTGAAAGATTTATCATAAGGAATTGGCTCAGGTGATGATGGAGGATGGCAAGTTCTGAGTCTGCAGTGTAGGCCGGCAGGTGACGACTGAAGGCCCTCTGCAGAAGTCTCCCGGCTCAGGAGACTGGCCTGGGAGTGGGATGCAGGCCTTCAGGCGACGGGGTGAGGCCCACCACTGAGGGAGCACTGTCTGCTTTACTCAGAGTTCACTGATTTAAATGTTACCTGGCTGTTATGCTCAGTGGTTAGCGTTGGTCTGCACACGGATGGGTCACGGGTTTGAGTCTCAGTCAAGGGCACATACCTGGGTTGCAGATTTAATCCCTGTTGGCCCTGTTGGGATGCATCCAGAGGGCAACCAATTGATGTGTCTGTCTCATATCAAGGTTCTCTATTTCTCTTCCTCATCCTCCCTCCCTTCCACTCGCTTTAAAATTAATGGGAAAAAATACTCTGGAATGAGGACTAACAATAACAATAAAAAATTAGTCTCATCCAAAATCACTCTCCAAGTTGACACAGAAAATTAACCCTGTCACAGCCCTCATCCTGACACTGCAGGCCTCTCTTTCTTTCTCTCTTTCCTGTTCTTATCACGAACGAATACCTGCTTGCTATGGAAAGTTCAAGAAGTTCAGAGAAACACAAATAGCCGGAATGAGATCACCAGGAACCCACCACATGGAGGACGCAGCTCCTCCAGCATTTTAACCACTTTTTCTTGCCCGTGGGCTTCTATTATGGTTTAGATATTCTGATGTATAAAATTAGTATGCTGCCCCTTTCTTTTTCTTCTTACCTTTATATTATTACCAATTTTTCAGGCTTTTGAAAACTAATAACAAGCAACAACCGTTTTTGCACTTTTAGCAGCTGAATAATATGAGATCATATGACTCTACTATCATATTACTCCTCCCCCTTTCAAATATAGCTCCTTATTTTTTGGCATGTAAGATCACCTGGCATCTCTCATAAGTCTTCGCTGCTTCTCTGTTGTCTGAAAAGAGACCCCTAGAAAGTAGGTCCCCAGAGCAACGGGGAGGAGTGTGTTTTAAGATTTGTCTCATGTTGCTAAGCAAATAGCTATCCTGAAAGGCTGGTCCGGTTTCACTTCGCAGCAGCTGGGCATCAGGGTTTCTCTCCCGCCCACTCCCACGGGGCCGGTGGCACCCTGCACTTAGCGCGGTTTCTGAGGCTGTGCTGTGCCCGCCTAGACCTGCTGACCTGGTTCTCAGGAGCACTTCCCGCCCGAGGGCTGGGAGCACCGCGCTCATCCTCTGTCACTGGAGGCCGGCACGCACCAGGTTCCCACGGATGCTGCTGGCTCCTTCCACGCTGGCCTGCACCGCGACGCTGTGCAGACACCGCCTGCCATCCTCGGCCAGCAGCCCGGCCCCCTCCTGAGGTGGCGTGTGCGTGCCCAAGTCCCAGCATCCACCAGGGGCGGCAGTCCCTGTGGCATGGCGGACCGTGCAGGGCATCTGGGAGGGTTGGAGCCTGTGCCCTCCGCTGTGACTGCACAGCTTCTCCGGTTGGAATGACGGATTCCAGCTCTCAGCAATGCTGCTGCTTTTCAAAAAGCATTTTTATTGAATTTATTGGGGTGACATTAGTTAATACAGTTATGTAGGCTCCAGGTGAACAATTGTATATCAAATTGTGTGCTCACCACCCAGAGTTCAGTCTCCTCCCGTCACCATCTCCCGCCTTCCCCACGTGCCTCTGCTTCACACACCAGGTGACGGTCCTGGCTGCCCGGCTGCAGGTGCCGGACCCGCCGGGCAAGTGCCCCGGTGCCCGTGAGGGTCTGACGGCAGCCTGACTGCGCATCCTCTGAGCATACTTGTCACAAACAGACTCGACACTGGCCCGTTATTCACGGGAGGAAATTAAACGGGCGACGCAGTGTTTGTGGAAGCGGTGTGGCTTGGGGAGGGGGGTTTTCTGTGGCCCTGATGTTTTTTAATCGCAGTGAGAGGGTGAGTGAGGGAGTGTCAGGCACTGTGACGTGTGCTGGTTACCTCGGCTTTTTTCTTCGCTCTTTTGGTGTCTTTCAAGCTCCAGATAACGGGCACAGCGTCCACCGAGCCCTCGCTGTCCTGGACGGCTGGGCGTTTGCCCACGTCCTTCCGCTTTGAGAACTTTCCATCCATCCGTGACGTCACTTGGTCACTGTGACCATTGTCAGAGTAACGCCGCCCTGGTCTTCCTCACAGAAGCTGTCCTCGGAGAGGCCGAGCTCGGACGGGGAGGGCGTCCCGGAGAACGGAGTCACCATGTGCAACGGGAAAGAGCAGGGTGAGTCTGCCCGAGCAGAGACCAGAATCCCAGCCCTTCCTCTCGGAGGCCGAGCGACAGTCCTGCACTGCAGACCACATTCCGCCGTCAGTCACCCGGGGAGGGATGTCTGTGTCCCCCCGGCTGCTGGGGACCATAGGCTGTGAGCCTGGGATCAGGCTGAAGCCCGCCCGTGGCGTGTGCGTAGCGCGGTGAGCGGCGCCCTCGTTGGCATACGTGCTTTGTGTTTGGACAACACTGAGCGGTGGCCACCGTCCGCACAGTGGAGACATGGGACAGTTTTGGCCCCGGTGTTCCTGTGCTCCGTCCCCACCCCCGCTCCCGGCAGCTGCGGGTCCGTGCTCTGTCCTCCCCGACATGCCCTATGCGTGTGCGTGGAGTCCACCGCGGAGCCTTTGGGGATGGCTTCCTGGCTCAGCCTCAGACTTGAGGAGCCCCGTGTGCAGGTGCTCAGGGTCCGAGCAGGAGGGCAGCATGGGTGCAGCACGGCCAGCTCGCCCGCACCCACCAGGAGGGCTGGCTGCTGGCAGCTCGGTGCCTGGGAGCGAAGCTGCTGTGGATGCGTCTTCCTCTCCCGGTTAATACCCAGGAGCAGGGTGCTGGGCCACATGCCCACTCGCCAGCCGTGGTGGTCTTGGCATTTGGCCGTTTGGACAGCTGTGCAGCTGGCCTCACTGTGCACCTGCCCGTGACCACAGCTGACCAAGTCTAATGGGCTTGTTTGCCGTCCAGCATCCTCTGTGGTGAAGTCTGTTCACATCCTCTGCCCTGTGTAGTGAGTTGTTTGTTCTCTGACTGACTTCTGAGAGCTCCTCCGGCTGCTGAGGACAAGCCCTCTCTGATATGTGATTTCCTTCCAGCGCGGGGGCGGGCTGGGAGGGGCCGTGGGGCAGGGATCTTTCCCTGGAAGCCTGCGGCCTCCGCCTGCACCGGGACCGGCTCCGTGAGCATCTGCCCCATGGCTGGAGGCCAGCGCCGTCCCAGCGGCCACACAGCACCCAGCCTGGTCTAGCCAGGTCTCCGCACTGCAGTGATAGGGCAGGCTCACGGCGGAGGCACGGCCTCTGCTCTGCCGTGACTTTCTCGGACGCTCAGTGGTTAGTGATTGTAGTTCTCTGCCTTCTCTGTCCTCCAAGACCACATGTGTAGCCACAGCGGGAACCGTCTCTGAGGTTTGCCCGAGAGGAGACCAGCGTACACTCAGGCTCCTGCCCGGATGCCCGGGCCAGCGGACGCCCAGCTTCTCCTCCCAGGTCCCTGAGGGGGCGAGTGTACCCACCCAGCACTGCCGGGCCTCTCACAGCAGAGCTGCCTTCCATACTGTGAAATGCCGACGTCAGTTCAGACACTTGGGGCCTGTCGCCATGCGTTGTGTATTGCAGTCGCTCACTGAGTGGTTCCTGCAGGAAGTCAGTGGTTAACCTGCACTTGGCCTTCTCTCCTCCCTTCCGCTCTGGACTCTGTGCGCTGAGGGCTCCATCAGGGTCCCTTCGTCCTCGCCGTGTTACCCTCGGTCACGTGCAGTGGTCCAGCCCCTGCGTCCGAGCCACGGGGTGACTGCAGCCCCTGCGCTCAAGGCGAATGATACCCCGTGGCGCGCTGATGCACCGCGTTCCAGTGATCCGTGGCTGACCTGCTGGTGCCGCCGCGATCAAGTACAGGGAACTGGTCTTGGCACTAGTCCGGGGAGCTTCGCTGCCCGGTGTGGCTCGTTGGTAACTTACAGAGTCACACTCCGACGGAGTAAGGCAGGTCCCCGAAGGCCGGCCTCCGGGCGCTCCATGAGTAAGATGGGAGGGAGAATAAACTGGCCGTGACTCACAGTGTCCTCCTGTCGCTCCAGTGTCGGGTCTGTAACACAACATGCTTTCTGTTGTCGTTATTCTTGCCAGTCAAGAGGAAAAAAAGTTCCAAACCAGAGGGCAAGGGCACCGTGACTAAAGTCACCGGGAAGAAAATCACCAAGATCATCGGCCTGGGGAAGAAAAAGCCATCCACCGACGAGCAGACCTCCTCCGCCGAGGAGGACGTGCCCACCTGCGGTAAGACAGCCCCTGAGCTCCCGGCGAGCGTGCCTGCCCTGGGCCCCCCCGGGAGGCAGAGCCAGGGCGCGGCCCGCGGCCGGCGCCTCCCGGCCGCGCTGAGCCGCCCTGTCGCCGCAGGCCACCTGAACGTGCTCTCCAACAACCGCTGGCGGGAGCGCTGGTGCAGGGTCAAGGACAACAAGCTCATCCTGCACAAGGACAGGACCGACCTGAAGACCCACCTCGTGTCCATCCCCCTCCGAGGCTGCGAGGTGATCCCGGGGCTGGACTCCAGGCACCCGCTGACCTTCCGGCTGCTCCGCAACGGGCAGGAGGTGGCCGTGCTGGAGGTAGGAGGCCTTCCTTCCCGGAGCCGTGCCCGGTCCGGTCCCCGCCGCTGAGGGACAGCGCCCTGTGTCACCCCCTTTCTCCCTCTCCCTCTGCCTGTCCGTCTGCTGTCCTCGGGCAGCCCCTCCTGGGGGTCCTGGGCCAGCGCCCCGCTTCTGCTGGCCCTGCAGTGAGCTTGGGCCCAGGCATCTCCTGGGCGGCCCCTCAGCGGCCCCTCAGCGCCTTGCTTCCGTGTTTCCAGCAGAGTGGCCTCACAGGGACGGCCCCCAGAGGGTGCTGTCCTCCCTCATCCTGCAGGGCCCGTGGCGGCTCCAGGCAGTGAGTGTGCCGATGCTGTGGCCAGCGAGCCGCGTGTGTGGGCACCGAGACCGGGTTTCCGGGAGCCCTGGCTCCGTGCACAGCCGACCCCGTGGCTGCCTTTCTGGAGCCAGCCGTTAGCTGAGGAGGAAAGGCGGTTAGCAGCCTCGGCCTGGCGGGCCCCGTGGGGGGGCACCGTGAGGTGCAGTGCAGGTTGCACGTGGAGAAGATCAGATCCAGAGTTGGGAGCGTTCACGAGTAAACGTCCTGAAAACAGCACCTACGGCAGCCGGTGCCTGAGCCACAGGGCACCTCCGCCAGCACAGCCACGGGAGGGGCACATGCTGATGCCTCCACTGAGGGGAAGGGAATGCCATGCTGCCAGCTGCGGGGGGGAGCCCGCGGCCCGCAGGGCGCACGCCGGCCGCCGTCCTGGGCGCTGGGCCGCGCAGGCGGCGCTGCTTTCCCACCAGATTTCACTGTCAGGCTGGTAAAGCTTTGTCAACAGCTTCACCTGGCGGAGCTTTCACTGACACACAGCTCCACGCCCCGCACCCCAGTGCCCTCCCCCAATAGTGCAGGCACCGTGGGACCACGTCTCCCCGTCCTGGGTCTCGTCATTATGCTTCCAGGCTCAGCTGCATGCAGAGCGAGTCCCAGGCTCGGCAGCCCTCCCCACGCTCTGCGGCTCACTGGCATTGGCTTCAGGTCCCACGCGTGCCGTCTGCGTGGGCTCTGCCGTGGGCTCTGCCGTGGACTCTGCCCTCCCCGGAGCCCGTGGCAGCTCTTCGCTGACGGAGCGGCACGCTCCCCCCCCCCCCCCCCACCGCAGGCGGCGTCCTCGGAAGACATGGGCCGGTGGATCGGGGTCCTGCTGGCGGAGACGGGGTCCTCCACCGACCCCGGCGCGCTGCACTACGACTACATCGACGTGGAGATGTCGGCCAACATCATCCAGACGGCCAAGCAGACCTTCTGGTGAGGCCAGGGCGCGGGGCGGACACGATGGACGGCTGCAGGCTGTGCGCGGCCTAGTGGCTGGCCTGGCGCCGGGCGGTGGGAGGAGAGGAAGCTCTGTCCGTGTGTTTCCTGTGAGCGACTGTGTTTGGGGCCAGCACGTGGCACGTGCCTCGGTCTCACTCCTGCTTTTCACGGAAGCAGAAGGGGCGCCGGCGGCAGACCCCGGTGCTGAGCCGGCCCGTCCTCTGGGGCTGCCGGCCGGTTGGGCCCGGGCGCTGAGAGGCGGCGGGTGTGGCACAGGCCTCCTCCAGCCGGACGCCGAGTGTGACGCGTCAGTCTCACGTCCCGGAGTCTGCCCCTCGGACCCCGCTCCTCCCTGGCACTGTGCCCGGGGGAGTGCTGGGCCGACCCCGGCAGATCCATGTGCCCCGGCTTCTCCCTCGTCCCGTCACTGCCTCGTGACAACGTGTGCGCGGTGCCTTCCCAGATGCCTCCAACGCATCCTTTAACTGAGAAGACCTTAGATATGTGTTTATTAACGAGTCAGGAAACTCAGATGTTTAACTGTTCTCTTTCCTGGGCATACTTCATATGCCCTAAGTGTAGAGTGGTCCTATACAGTTCTCTGTCAGGAGAAAGCAAGAGGAGCTGCTTTATAAATTAGAGTTAGTGCTCTGGGCCCAGCGAGGCGTGCACAGCCGCCTGCCCCCAGCAGAGGGCAGCAGCTCCCTCGGAAAGCCTCCTGCCGCTGGCCCAGGCCCCCAGCCCTGAGCCCGCTGGCCCCTGTGCGGGCGCTGGCCCTGCTCCAGCACCGGCAGGTCCCGCTGCCTCCTGCCTCCTGCGTCCTGCCTCCGGCCTCCTCTCTCCTCCCTCCGGGACCACAGGGAGCTCCTGGGGAAAGAACATGGGAAACAAAGTCCTTTAAAACCGCCAGCTGTTGGCGTCACCGCCAGGGGGTGCTCGCAGGGGGTCCTCCCAGGCAGGCGTGCTGCCTTCCCGTTGGTCCTCCAGGGGGGCGTGCAGCCATGGCTCCGGCAGCTCCCGCACGGAGGCTCCCACACCCTCTGACGGCCGAGCACAGGCCGGGGCTCAGCCAGGCTCCCGGCCCGGCGGGGGAGTCACCTCACGTCCTGTCTTTCAGCTTCATGAACAGACGTGTCGTCTCCACCAACCCCTACCTCGGGGGCACCCCCAACGGCTACGCCCACCCCAGCGGGACGGCGCTGCACTACGACGACGCCCCCTGCGTGAACGGCGCGGTGAGTGCCGGCCGGGCGGGCGGGCAGGGCGTGCCGGCGGCTCCATCCCCCTGTCCTGTCCGGCCAGCTGTCGTCTCCCTCTGCCTTTGGACACGCAGGCATGTGACCCCACAGGCAGGTTCTCCCTCCGTGTCCCCTGTCCGTCACTGATTAGACAGAGGAGAACACGTTAGAGTACACGCCTCGGTAAGGCACATGTGGTGACTGTCATTTCCCGGGGGCACACGAGCTGAGCAAGCACCATGGAAGGCAGAGGAGGGAGGGAGGGAAATGGCCATGTAATCACGAAATGACGTACACAGAGTCCGACGTAACCCGAGGACTGTCTGTATAAGCAACTAAAACTCAGTTTGCAGCCATGGCCCTTCTCCCTCAGCCCCTCCCCCATGGGGCTGCTGGGACCCGCCCAGCAGTCTGTCCTCCTTACGTGACTCACATATCTCCCCCTTCCTCCTCCAGTCCCTTGTCACCCCTCCCTCCCCCTCCCTCCCTCCCCGTCATCTTCCCCCCGCCTCCCCCCTGAGCACTAAGCGGATGAGATGCTGCCGTTGCCCTTAAAGGGCCTCCAGGCTGGTGGGTGAGGAGGGGGTGGGAGGAGCCAGTGGGGACCTGGGCCGGGCAGGGCCTGTCCAAGGGCAGATGGAGGTGAATTCTGGGTCCGTGTGTCATGGGTGAGGGTGTGAGGGGGACTCTGCACCCCAGGGGGCTGCAGGGTCCACTGGCTGGAGTCCTGCCTGAGGCTGGCGGGGGGAGGGGTCGAGGGGGAGCCACGTCCGGTCCCACCCTGAGAAACATCGTGTCCAGCCAGTCCCCCGCTCCATTCCCGCCGCCACCTTTCCCCCGGCCAGCAGCCGGCACCCCTGGAGAGGCTGCGCGCCCCCACAGGGCAGTCCGGGCAGCCCTGCAGAGCACCAGAGCCTGGTCCAGGCCACCGTTTCTAAGGTGGGCCTGCTCCCCCGCCCATGTCACCATTCTCTGCTGACCGCGCCTGGCCCTGTCCGCGCCACCAGAGCGGGTGGGCAGTCTGCACCTCCAGCTCGGCCTCAGGAAACCCACACCTACTCTCAGTCTCCCTCCGAGGCCCTCCCCGTCCCCAGCCACACCTCCCACAGGCGTGAGATGAGGAGGTGGGGCCACAGGCACCCCGCCCCAGCCTGTCCCGGGCTCTGGTGGAGGTGGCTCAGGCCGCAGGGACCAGGCTGCTCAGGGCGTCCGCGGACTCCCTCGGAGGGCTCTGCGCCCGAGGCTCTGCGGGACCTCGTCCTGGGCCATCCCCGCGCGGCGCCCTGGCACCGGGCTTCCATGCGGCCTGGCAGCGCCTTGCCCGGCCCGGCTCCCTGTCCGTCCCCGGGGGGCGGGGGGGGGCAGCTCTTCTCTTTACGAAGTTTGCACTTCTGACCCCAGACCGCGCTGCCAGCGGCTCATTTTCAGTAGCTCAGCCGTTCGGGGTCCCTGGGCCCAGCGCAGGCCTTAGTGAGTCTCTGGACGGGTCTCTGACACCACACACGGGGAGCACACCCACTTTTAACCAGAAACTTCCGTGAGCTTCTATCTCCGTGTGACTCAGGCCCTGGGTGTTTTAGGAAGATAGTCTAGTCTAGACCCTGTAACAGCCCGGACACACGTGCGCCCTCGTTTATCTGCACGTCCCCTATTTTTAGCTCGGAGCCGGGCCCCAGCATCACCAAAATAGCCGCGCTCAGCAAGGAGCGGGAGCACGCCTGCTGGGCCTGAGCTGCTCCCGTGTCTACAGCAGAGGCTGTCATTACCGCTGCGGGCGGAGCCGGAGAGGGACGGGGACGGGGATAAGCGCTGCAGGAGCCAGCCTCCCTCTGTAAGGCAGAGCGTGCCGGAGGCCTTAAAACAGAGGCTGTGCGCAGGGCGAGCTCCATGTCCCTGCTCTCCCGCCGCCCACAGCGATTTAGTCCTCAAGGGAAAGGCTTTTGTCAAAACAGAGCCGTTCGTCACTTCCACTCGGAAACCTCCTCTTTTCTGTGACGATTGGCTTTCTTTTCAAGGCTGCTTTGGTCGCGGCCATTTAGTCAACCCTGCGAGGGGGCAGGTGGACAGTGCCTGTGAGCCTCTGCCTCAGTTTCCCCTGCTTCCTGCAGTGCCGTGAGAGCTGGAGGAGGTGGGGTCTGTGAAGCCCTCCAGACAGGGTCCAGAACCCGTGACCACTGCAAAGTAAAAGGTCCCCATCCCATCCCCATCCCCGTCCCCATCCGCGTCCCTTCCCGCAAGCACGTGGCTCTGCTTTTGGATCTGGGGGACTCCCCCAAACCTAAAGAAATGTCAAGTCAGCCCTTTTTGTTCTGCTTGACCAGACAGAACAGGAACTTCTAAGCCAATGACCGGGGCGGGCCAAGGAGGGGAGAGGCTGTCCTTCAGCCCAGCAGCAGGCAGCGCCCCCGGGCCAGCTCCCTGCAGCGTGTGGGCTCTCCAGCCGCGGGCACGGGGGTGGGCGCTGACGGCGTCCCGCGCTAACCCTGTCCCGCACTAACCCTGTGTCCCGCGCTAACCCGCGTCCGCGCCCGCGCTAACGTCTGTCTGCTTGAGGCCGAGGCACTAACCGCCTGTGTGTGTTGCAGTGGGACCCGGACGGCAGAGGCCCGGGAGGAGCGGCGCTGTACGATAACGCGGCGCTGTACGATAACTTGCCGTCGCCGGAAATCTTTGCGCGCTGCCCGCCGGCCGACAGGAGGGCTGCTAGGCCGCCTGCCGACACCCTGCCCTGTAACCATTACAAGCGGCCCACGGCCCGCGGGCTGCCTCCCGCCCCGTCTGTCACTAACACCTCTTCTGTGGGGAGGGCGTCTCTCGGGCTCGGCTCCCAGGTACAGCATCGCTTCTCTCCTCTGGCGCCCCCTCTGGCCGCAGCCTCCTGCCCAGTCTGGCCGTGTGCCACTCGTAGTAAGCGGGACACCTGGGAAAGCAGTGGACAGGGAGCTGCCTCGGTACCCCCCTCCCCTCCCGTCCCTGCTGTGGGCTCCGCTCACCCCCTCCCTCTCCATCCCTGCTGTGGGCCCCGCTTTCCCTGCACACCTGGCTCTTTCCGGTCCGGGGTGTCCCCATCCCGTCCCCATCCGCGTCCCATCCCCGTCCGGGGGAGAGGTTTAGGAAAGGACCGGGACGGTGAGACTTTGCGGGAGATTGTGAGCTGCACGTTGGTTAATGTTTCCATTAAACGTCAGCACCGGCGGACCCTGATCCTTACACAGAAGCCAGGCCCAGTCAGGCCGCTGCGGGGGAGAGCCAGGAGAGGATAAGGATTTGGGATTATCAGTGACCAATGGTCACAGCCTGTTGTCAGGCTGTTGTCCCACCTCAGCTCTGTGGCAAACGGTAGCATTTCGCTACAAATACTGGTGTGTTTTCATGCCTTTTCGGCCTAAGACTTTTACCCCTGGCACACAGCCCTGTGCCCGTGTGCGAGTGCTCCCTGGAGCAGGTGGCACCGGAGAGATGGCCTCCCTCCCCATGTGGGGATCGTTACAAAGTGAGGAGTGCCAGAAAGCCCGGGATCTCAGATCGGGCGGCACTCAGAAGCGCTCCGGCCGAGGCTCTCGTCAGCACAGCACAGCTTTGTTTGCTTCTGATTTAAAAAAATCTGTTTTTATTTCAGAGAGAAAGATAGAGGGAGGGAGAAATATTGATTGGCTGCCCCCTGCATACCACCTACTGGGGATCGAGTCCACAACCTGGGCATTGCCCTGACCCGAATCAATTCAGTGTCCTTTGGTTCATGGGTCAGCACTCAACCACTGAGCCACACCAGCCAGCTGTTTGCTTCTGATTTCTTTTTTTTAATATATTTTATTGATTTTTTACAGAGAGGAAGGGAGAGAGATAGAGAGCTAGAAATGTCAATGAGAGAGAAACATCGACCAGCTGCCTCTTGCACACCCCCTACCGAGGATGTGCCCGCAACCAACATACATGCCCCTGACCGGAATCGAACCCGGGACCCTTCAGTCCGCAGACCGACGCTCTACTGCTGAGCCAAACCGGTTTCGGCTGCTTCTGATTTTTGATGACAGTTGCTCAGTGTCTGTCCAGTGAGTCTGAAGGCTGGACGTGGGAGCCAGAGGCTCTGGCCTCGTTGATTATGGTGGTCAGACATGGTGGTTACTAAGTGGGGGCTCAGGGGTCATGGCTCACTCAGAGCTGGTGACAGAGCCAAATTTAGGCCCCGCCCATGGTGCAGGGTGGGCATGACCTCGGGGTGTGGGCCTAGACACCCAGCTCACCTCCCGCCAGCTGCACTCCTGCACACAGGGCTGTCCGCTGCTGAGCACATCCACGGGCTGGCCCACCTGCCAGGAAGTGGCGGGGCTGGGAATTCAGCACCTGTGGCTCCTTCCTGAGACCCTGCCGGTGAAACGCGGCAGAGAAACCAGCTGCGGCTGCTCCCCCAGGGGGCCCCTGAAGGAGCTCGCCCCTGGTCCAAGCACAGGCCCCCAGAGCAGCTGCCCGCTCCCCCCAACCGACCCCCACTCCCCCATCACAGCTGTCAGCGCACATGTCGCGGCTGCTTCCCTGCCGAGGGTGTCCTGCGCCCCTCACGCTGGAGACGCAGCCTCCGGGAACCCCAGCTCCCAGGGTTTGGGAGCCGAGGTGTCTCCTGCCTCCCTGAGAGCTGCTGTGGGTGCTGGGTGCTGCCGGCGGGCGCAGAGGGAACCGCCCCGCAGACCAGCACCGGTGCCTCAGTTGTTGGTGGGTAAGTGTCCTCTCTCTGTGTCCACAGCTGAAGAGCAGAAAGCCCCCGCTCGCAGCCAGCGGGGCCGCGGGCAGAGGCAAGCCCCCGAGCGGCCAGCCCAAGAAGGCCGAGCCGGCCGCCGGCGTGAGGCGCACGCCTTCCAGTGAGTGCCCGTCCCCGTCCGTGGTCCCGTCCGTGGCCGCGGGCGCCTCTGCAGTGTGGAGGGGCTGGGGGCCGTGGAGAGATGGGCCTGCAGCTCATCACCTTCCCCCTGCCGGCACGCTGGGACTCAGGCCTGACAGGCGCTCCACACCCACCCGGGCTCCCCTTCCTATTCTCATGGTCCGCTTGTTCACCCACCGATGTTACGTGCTGGTGCGCCTGTGCAGAGCGCTGGACGGGCTGCAGCCAGCGGGGACGGGCTGGGGAAGAAGCCTGAAATCCACCGGGAACTAGCCACAGCCAGGACTGCGTGTATGCTCACGCCTCCTCGCTGCGGCTGTGGGATGTGCACTGCGGGCGAGGTGCCGGCCTGCAGGGAAGAGATTAGAGGATTTCTTGCTCCTGTTTTCATGTAGAACGTGGTTCCTGAGAATTCTGGGTGATCAGCTGGCTCCGGCCGGCCCGTTCTCTCCTGCGGAGTTCCCGGAGCCAGCTGACTTACCTAGCGAGGCGAAGACAGGGGCCGGGGCGGCTCTGCGCATGCCCTCTGTCTGCAGGCTAACGCTTTCCTGCCTGTCTCAGACGCTGACCAGTACAGGTACGGCAAGAACAGGGTGGAGGCGGACGCCAGGCGGCTGCAGAGCCAGGAGGAGGAGCTGCTGCGGCGGAAGGAAGCCCTGCGGACCAGGCTGGCCCAGCTCCGGAAGGAGAGGGGGGACCTGCGGGCCGCCATCGAGGCGAACGCTGGTAGGAGGCGCCGTCGGGAGGGTCTGGTTCCTGTCTGTGCAGCCTCCCCTCCCTCAGCCCGCGGTCAGATTCACGCGCGTCCCACACTGCTTCCCGGGTCTGGAAGCATTGCCAGTTACCCAGGGTGGTGCCGGTGCGGGAGCCAGGACAGGCGGGAGGGATAGGTGCCGGGTGCGGGAGCCCGGGACAGGCAGGGGGATGGTGCCGGGTGCGGGAGTCGGGGACAGGCAGGGGGACGGGTGTGGGAGTCCGGGACAGGCAGGGTGCCGGGTGCGGGAGTCTGGGACAGGCAGGGGGACGGGTGCGGGAGCCGGGACAGGCAGGGGGACGGGTGCGGGAGTCTGGGACAGGCAGGGGGACGGGTGCGGGAGCCGGGACAGGCAGGGGGACGGGTGCCCGGGACAGGCAGGGGGACGGGTGCGGGAGTCTGGGACAGGCAGGGGGACGGGTGCGGGAGTCTGGGACAGGCTGGGGGACGGGTGCGGGAGCCCGGGACAGGCAGGGGGATGGTGCCGGGTGTGGGAGTCCGGGACAGGCAGGGGGACGGGTGCGGGAGCCCGGGACAGGCAGGGGGAAGGGTGCGGGAGTCTGGGACAGGCAGGGGGATGGTGCCGGGTGTGGGAGTCCGGGACAGGCAGGGGGACGGGTGTGGGAGCCCAGGACAGGCAGGGGGATGGTGCCGGGTGCGGACAGGCAGGGGGACGGGTGCCGGGTGCGGGAGTCCGGAACAGGCGGGAGGGGACAGCACCCCTAGGAGGGCCCGCTGAGGGCAGGGCAGTGTGAGCTATTGGAAGGGAGGGGGTGAGGCCAGGTCGAGTGCGGCTGGGGCAGGGGCAGGGGCAGGGGCAGGGGCGGGAGAGGGAGGAGCTACAGAGCGCAGCTGAGTAAAGGCAGTCCTAAGGAGCATGGCGCTGGGCCAGGTGGCTTGTGCGTGGGCAGAAGTGGGCACGGGGCCTGGTGAAGGACGGACTGCAGACACACAGGCCTCAGCTCCAGCTGCTCTCCCCTGGGCAGTTCTAGCCCGTGTCTCCGTGTGGCCGGCCCAGCATGGAAGGGGAGAAGGGAGAGGAGTAGAGAGCCAAGGAGGCCCGGAGACACCTGCCTCCTGGTAGCTCAGTGTGTGTGTGTGTGTGTGTGTGTGTCGGGTGAGGGGGATGCTGGCACGCGGGCGCAAGGATCTGGGCCTTCCTGGCTGCCTCGTGACTTGCACGGGCGGGTGCTGGCTGGGCTGGGCAGGTGCAGCTGCAAGCGGAGTGCAATGCCAGCCAGAGGCTGGGCAGGAGGGAGGTGCCGACACAGAGGTCAGAGCAGCTTCTGGCCTCAGAGAAGAGCCCCCCGTGCTGGCACCAACCAGGCTGCATACCCAGGTTACCCGGCTCCCTTAGCTGTCCTGTGAGCAAGGCGCCAGCTTTCCCATGTCACTGCCCACGTGCCAATCACATGAAGCACGTGTGCTCTGTGCGGGAGGGAGCGTGTTGGACGGAGGGCGGTGAAGCCTGCTGCTCTGGGTCCACGTGACGTGAGCAGTGAGGCCGCGCTCCCGCCGTTCTCCACCCGCAGCCCCGCAGGGTGGGAGCGGGCCTGGCTCCCCGGAGGCCGGGGAGTGTCCCGGGGGGTGTCTGCGGTCCCTGCGGGGCCTCAGGGTCTGTGCTCCAGGCAGGAAGGCGCAGCTGGCCCTGGAGGAGAAGCTGAAGGCGCTGGAGGAGGAGTGCCGGCGGAAGGAGGCGGAGCGCGTCAGCCTGGAGCTGGAGCTCACCGAGGTCACCGAGAGCCTGCGCAAGGCCCGGGCGGGCGGCGTCACCCTGGGGCTGGCCATCGAGCCCCGTTCGGGGACCTCGAGTCCACAGGTGTGGTCCCCGCGCCCCCGAGCACCCACACACGGCCCCGAGCACCAGCACACGGCCCCGAGCACCCGCACACGGCCCCGAGCACCCACACACGGCCCCGAGCACACACACACACCCCGGAGCACCCATACACGGCCCCGAGCACCCACACACGGCCCCGAGAACCCACACACGGCCCCGGAGCACCCACACACATCCCGGAGCACCCACACACGGCCCCGAGCACCCACACACGGCCCCGGAGCACCCACACACGGCCCCGAGCACCCACACACACCCTGGAGCACCCACACACGGCCCCAAGCACCCACACACGCCCCTGAGCACCAGGAATGGCGCCCCAGAAAAAGCCCCTTCCTCTACAGAGGCCGCCCCGCCCCGCTCGCTCTGCACAGCGGACTGCGGCCTCCGCGCAGACACTTCGCTTACCTACCCCTCACCTGAGCTCTTTCCCATTGGTTTCTTTTTTCTTCTTTTCTCCCTTTTTTTTTTTTTTTTTTTTTGAGAGAGAGAGAGGGAAGGGAAGGGAAGGGAGGAGGGAGAGAGAGACAGACAGAGAAACATCGATTTGCATTGAGCCTGCAACCAAAGTATGAGCCCTTGACCAGTTGAACCCTAGACCCTTCAGTCCACAGGCCAACGCTCTGTCCACTGAGCCAAACTGGCCAGGGCTTGGTCTCTTTCACAGCCCGGATCCTGGGCCTGCCCTGCCGCTCCTCCCGTGGGGCTCCCGCGCTCCTGCTGCAGCTGCCACCAGGCTCTGCTGCAGGCCGGGGAGGGAGGGAGGGGCTGGGATCGGAGTCCCCGGAGCGGGACCGCTGGCGGCGTGCGGGCTGGAGGCGCCACGGGACGCAGGGACGCGGACTGCCCTCCCCGCTCCCCAGCCTGACCAGCGGCGCAGTGTTCCTCTGAGCCTCCGTCTGCCTGTGACCTGGGCATTGAAAAGGCGCCTTAGAATAGGGCAGGGACTGTGTACACACACACACTGGCAGCGGCGGCTGGCACTGGGGAGCTGTGACCCCGCCTGGCGAGGACGGTCTTCCGTGGACGCCCCCCCCCCCGCCGCCCTGAACAAACCACGTGAGAGCGGGCGGCCAGCACACCTTTACGGGGCCCGTATGGCTGTCACATCCCAGACCCCGCTTTTCCTGTTCCTGCTGGACTCAGGAGGCCGCCTCACTCGTCTCTCTCAGTCCCCAGTGCTCCGGCCGCGGACCCTGGAGAGCTCGCCGCTGTCCAGCTGCGAGACCAGCGACGCCGAGGGCCCGGTGCCCGTGAACAGCGCCGCCGCCCTGAGGACGAGCCGGCCGGCCGGCAGTTCCCCCTGCCGGGGCCACGTGCTCCGCAAGGCCAAGGTCAGCCCCGCCGCCCCCTGCGCGGGCCATGCAGCTCGCCAGCCCGCCGCGCGGACACCGGCCTCGGCGTCCTGCGGGCGGGCGGGAGGGCGGGGGCCGGGCGTGTCCCGTCCGGTCCCACAGCCTCCGCTAGGCGCCACGTGGTCTCCGGTCCCCCAGTGCCGCCTGTCCGGTGTCGGAGGGGCCGAGGCCGGGGGGGGGGGGGGGGACATGCTCGGGGCCATGCCTGGGGGGGCCTCCTTGTCTCCGCTGCGACCTCGGCCCCGGGGGCCCCACGCTGGCCGCTTCCCGGGGCGGCCGCCCGTGTACCCACACCGTGCATGTGTGTCACTCGGCTCTCGCTTCCCGGCAGGAGTGGGAGCTGAAGAACGGGACGTAGACACGGACGTCAGGAGAGGCCGCGGCGGAGCAGGCCCGCCGCCCGACGCGTATTTTCTACTGTACGGGCCGCCCGTAAAGCTGTGCTGGCCGCCGCTCCCACGTGGTTTGTTCAGGGCGGCGGGGGGAGGCCGCGGGAGACTGTCCTCGCCAGGGCCACAGCTCCCCAGTGCCAGCCGCCGCCCCAGGGGTCTGTGTCCCCGTCCCGCCCCGCCCCGCCCCCGCCCGGAAGGTGAGGCGCTCCCCTGAGCTGGACGGCTTTCTAACGCTCACATCCTCTGTGATCACTTCGCCCCCGGCTCCCGGAGGCCCCTCCCGATGGGAGGGCGTCACTGCTTTGGAAAGGCTGCGAGGGTTAGGGATGCTTCGCCCTGTGTCCTCCTTCCAGTACCCTTCACCCCTCCCTCCCTCCCCCATGGGCGGCCCTGGAGAGCTGGCAGCCTGGCGGGCGCACGGCTGTCCTCTCTTCCTGATGTCGCTGGTGGGGGTGCTGGAGCCATGGACAGAGCTTCTAGCCGCCCAACTCCCCCTGCCCCCCGTTTGCAAATCTAAGATGTGGCTGCGTCCGGGGACCTCGGCTCGCCCCTCCCGGGCCCGTGGGCCTCGCAGGGCCTCCTCCTCACCGCCGGCTGCCTCCGTGGAGTCCCTGGGCGACCCGCTGGGGCCCGGGGACAGAGCCGGCCCCGCGCAGCCGCGCAGGCCCCCGTCCCAGGCCTCAGCGCTGGGCACCCGGCCCCACGGTGCTTCAGGCCGGGCGGGCGGTGAGGCGCTGGGAGCTGCGTGCCTGGCTCCACCACAGCCCCTGCCCGGACGTGTGTGAGGCGGTCGGCCTGGCCTGCCCCGCGGCTCCGCACTCACAGGATGGCGGGACGCTCACCCCCTGCACTCACCGGTGACCCGGGAGGGCCGGCGCTGTGGGCGCACGCAGCTCCCTTCCCGAGGGGGATGCTCGACCCCCGTGGCCTGCGCCTTCGGGTCCAGAGGCTCCCAGCCAAGCGTGGCCTCACGTGGTCTCTGGGCTGGGCAGCCGCCTTGCCCAAGAGAGCCGCCAGGTCCGACACGCCGGGGCCGGCTGCCACGTTCCTGTCCGCACCGGCGGTGCCAGCACCTCGGCCTGAGCATGGCCGGTCCAGCCTTCGGGCTCCTGGCCGCCAGGGGCGGTGCTGACACAGCCGGCCTGTAAGGGGGGGACTTGTCCGCTGGGGTCTGCGGGTCTCCCGTGTCCGGATGTGGTCAGAGCCAGTAGTTATTTATTTGTACATGTTCAGAGCGTAGTCCTAACTTATATCTGTACATAGCAGACACGGCTCCTGTCCGGGGCGGAGACCGGGGTCCTGACAGCATGAGAGGGCGGGGGGCGGGGCTGCCCTCATGGTCGGCCCCGCCTGCCGGACCTGAGGCCCCGTCAGCCTCAGAGGCCCGCCCCCCCACGCTGACACGTTTACGATGTTTCACTCTCACCCCCGTGCCCCGAGCACAGTGACCCTCAGGTGCAGGCCACGTCCTCTCTGCCCAGAGTGCCAGGTGGGTGCCGCCTAGCCCTGGCTTCAGCTGGGGTGGGGCTCCTGGCACGGCTCCCCCCACCTCTCCCAGCTCTTCTCTCTGGGCGACCCCGTGACCTCAGATACCATGGTGCACAGCCAGCCCCGCCCTGACAAGGCTGTTTGTGCACCGGGTCACGTGACAGGAGCCCGGGTGGGCTGACCACACCAGCAGGCCTGCGGGGACGCGACCGGGCGGCCCCCGGGCTCAGCAGCAGCGACACGCACAGCTTGCCTTCTCTTTTCTAACGCAGTTTGTACAGGACACTTAATTCCGATCGCGCACATTTTTAAAGAGGGCGTTTATTATTGTTGTTATTACTGTTATTTGTTACTTGTTCCTGCTGTCACGCTGTCTGGCGGGCTGCGTTATACTGTGAAATGAACTGAAGGTGAACTGCCCCTCCGTGCCCCACACCCCGCACGGCTCCACGAGGGAGGCGGAGCCGCCGGCCACGGGCATGTGGTGTGGGCACAGGGGTTCCCCGGGCCCCCAGCCTCGCCGATGCCTTCAAAGCGGCTCGCCGCTCCCAGTTCTCGGACCAAAGCAGCTTTCCATGCCACGCTCCTCCGGCTGGATTCGCCCCCGGGAGGGCTGTAACCACACCAGCCTTTCCCGGGCCTCCCGCTCAGAATGGAGCCTCCTCACTGTGCCTGACACTCCGGCCTGGAAGGCCCTGAGGGGCCCGGGCCTTGGGCCGCCGGTTAGATGCCTGTACACAGGCGTCACTGTTCTCGGTGTATTTAATTCACGGTGAGAGGTTTGTCAGGGGAACTCGCCTGGGAACATGGGTTCCCGTTCGCCCCTTTTGTAGTCGCCTCACTTGGTTCTCGCTGAGGGACCGCCCCATTCCCGCAGCCCCAGACGGGCGCCTGTGGCGCGACCCAGCCGTGTGCTGTCAATAAAGCCATCTTCCAGCCCGGCCCCGCGTCGTCTTCCACCGGCTTATCGAGGGGGCGGGGAGGGGAGGGGGCTTGGCTGCCCTGGACAGGGTCCCTCCCAGGCCGGCCAGGCCCGGGGCAGGTGGAGGGCTGGCCGCAGTGCACCTTCCACGTGCCAGCCAGGCAGGGCCCCGCCCATCGGGGCTCCCCGGCCTCTCGCACCCGGACACTCCCCCCTCCCCCCAGCCAAGGGCAGGGGCTGGGCACCCAGCACTCCCAACACCGCTCAGACCGGTGCCTTCTGGCCCCCTCCCCGTGCACTCACCACACTGTTCTGCCCAGGTTTGCCCCCCTCGGCCTCCCGGCTGGGTCTGCTCTTCCCCATGTGGCCCGGCGTGGCCCAGTGTGCCCTGGCGTGGCCCAGTGTGCCCTGGCGTTGCCCGGCGTGGCATGCCCTCCACGTGGGAACTGTATGACCAGCCTGTTTTCATGGCCACGGCCTCCCCACAGCGGACATGGCGGCCACACCTCCCCCCAGCAGGAAGGTGTGGACACGAGGCCAGGCCACTGGTCTCTGGCTTGAGCCGGCTTGCTTGCTCCTCCTCGCCCATCAGGAGGGACAGGGACGGCTCCGGGCCCCGTGAGAGGGCTCGGGATGGGCGTTAAGCGCTCACATAGCCACGTGGCAGGTGCTGCGCGGACACAACGCCCGAGGCACCGGGAGAGCCCACGTCCAGCCCGCCCAGCGCGGTGCCGGCGGGGCCTCCTCGTGCCCCCCAGATCCCCGGGAGTGAAGAGGCCCCGGAAAGAAAGGAACCGGCCAGCCACCCTGCCGGGGATGGGGAGGACCCGCCTTCCACGGGCAGGCTGCTCTGACCCGGATCAGGGTGAGCCCCGCTCTGCGGAGTCACAGCAGCCACTCCCGGGCAGGACAGCGATGCAGTCGGAAAGGCCTTCCTGCGCCGGCCTGTCCCCAGCCCCCGGCGGCCCCAGGCGGGCGGGAGGTGGCTGCTCTACCAGCTGACCTGGAGGCGTCACTGGGTGACAATAACAAGGACGGAGAAACAGGAAAACACCGCTGTCCACAGCCCCTGCGCTCTGGCAGAGGGAACCCCGGCCCAGGCCTTGGACACAGAGGAGGGCAGAGGCACCCGGGACTTGGGCGCTGAGGGAACATGGTATGTGGGGACTCGGCTCAGAGGGAAGACCCACCTGGGCCTCGTGTCTCCTGAGCCCACAATTCCCATGAGAGGGCTCGCCAACACCAGTTCCCAAGCAGAGAGGCCACCAGGTGTAGGTCCCCACAGGCCCAATGGCCCCAGCAGCTCCCACCCCGAGGGAGCACTCCCCCCTGAAATACCTCAGCCCCGGGTCAAACCCCAACCCTAACCCTAATGCAGGTGAAACCCCAGCCCTAACCCTAACCCCAATCTAATGCAGATCAAACCCTAACCCTAACCCTAACCCAATGCAGATCTAACCCTGACCCTAACCCTAACCCAATGCAGGTCCAATCCTAACCCTAACCCAATGCAGATCTAACCCTGACCCTATCCCTATCCCTAGCCCTGACCCTGACCCTAGCCCTGACCCTGACCCTGACCCTGACCCTGGAGGGCTGTGCTCTTGGTTTGCCTCCATGGCACAGGGTCCCGGAGGCCTGGGCGCAGGTGGAGGTGGTGACGGTGACGGACAGGGCTCGTGTGGGGCGGGGCCTCCAGGGCTCACGGGCTGGCGGCCGCGCCCAGGAGTCCGAGGAGGGGAGGAGCAGCAGGTGAGGGGGGGGCTTCGAGCGCTGGCGGGTGCCATTGCTCTGCCCACACGTCCCGATCCGGCGGCCGAGAAGGTTAACGTCATGGCGACCTCCCACGGCGATGCCACGGGGCGCGGGCCCTCCACAGCGCGGGCCCACGCTCGCTCTTAGGTGATGCTGAGGAACAGAGCCAGCCAGGCAGATCCATCTTTGTTAAAAGCATCACAAGTGGTTTATTGGTTTTTAAAAAGGAAAAGTAAGAAAGAACCGATCGCATCTCTGTGGTGTGCATATACCAGTGGGCACAGCCCGGGGGACTGCCCTGCGGCTGCAGCAGGCCGCGCCTCCCCCGGAGCCTGTGCGGGGCTGGGCGCCCCATGTGCGCCCTCAAACGTGTAGCCGGAGGGCCGTGGACCCACGTGGCGACCGGACGCTGTGGGTGGGGAAGTGCAGGGGAGCCAGTGCCACCTCGTTTCGGGGTTCATGGGCCCCAGATACTCCTCATAGGCAGAAGGAATGACAACCCCAAGCAAACCGCCAGCGGCCGGGGCAGGCCTGCCCGAACAGCAGTGAATCGCGGGGTTCAGGGTCACAGGGGGTCACCCGCAGGCACTGGTGAGCTGGGCAGGGGCTGTGTCCAGGGCACGCCATGCCGCCCCTGACCCTGGGCCTGGACAGTGTCCGTCTCCCAGGCGGGTGGGGTGGACACAGGGCTCCCTAAGTGTCTGGAAACTGACTGTGCCCCCCAGACCACCCCCCGCCCTGTCCTTGGGCTGAGTCTGCAGAGTGGCTGTCTGCTGGTGGGCAGGGCCAGGGGAGGGACCCACAGGGACCTCTCCCCCCTGTGGTCTCCGAGTCGCCATGGTGACAGGGCGCTAGACTGGCGGGATCCCCCACTGCTCCAGGGGGCTGTTCTCCCCACCCAGGCCAGCCGGTCCCTAGCCCGGGCTCTGGTGTCCCCAGGAGAGGCCACCAGAGGGCCCTGCCCTGGGGGGAGGAGGGGTCAGTGCGTGGAGGAGGGGGGGGGGGGAAATACTGATTCGGGTTCAAGGCCAAGGGGGAGCAGCCCCCACGTGTTCGCACCGGACCCTGAGGCAGCAGCGTCACTGATTCTGGCTCCGGTGAGCGGACTGCATGGCCCGGGGGCCGAGGGCTGGCTCCCAGGCGCTCTGCCTCGACTGCGGTCTGGCCTGGGGAGGGTCACCCCCTCTCTGGCCTTGGGGTCTGCACCCCCAGGGGGCACACCCGCCCTCCGATCTAACCCTCTGGTCCCCGGGTTCCGTGTGTCCCCCGAAGCAATCACTGCAGCAGCTTGGGCCTCTGGGCCCGGCCCACCGCGAGGGAGCAGGTGCCTGTGGGGGCGCCGCCTGGTGGCCGGCTGTGAAGCTGCAGCCCCGTGGCTCCCAGGGGAAGGCCGGCCTCGGCCCCTCTGGCCCAGGGGAAGGGTGCCCAGAGGGCACGGAGCAGCCCTGGGCATTCTGGGAAAGGAGTTTCCCATCACCTGCAGTTGGGGGGGGGGGGCAGGGGCGGCAGGAGGCGTGGCAAGGCCCGGGCCTCAGGCTCTTTGATGCTGGAGGGCGGGCGCCCGCTGAGAGGGCGCCTGGCGGGCTGCCCTTGGTGGGCACAACCCTGTCCATGTGCAGCGTGGCTGAGTGGGTCTGCGGTGCCAGAGGGCGGGCAGGCACCCAGGGGACCCGCCTGGCACCAGAGGTCAGGCCTGGGCGGGGGTGCCAGGGTCCGGCGCAGCGTCCGGGGGTGGAGGCGGGCCGGAGCCGGCGGGCGGCGGGGCCGTGGCTGGGGTCCAGGGAGGCGGCGGTCAGCAGCCCCGGGCGTCCTGAGCAGAGGCGGGGGCGCTGGGCCTTGCGTGGGGCGGCCTCTGGCGATGCCAGTGCCGGCACAGCCGGCGTGGGGGCCGTGCCCCGGGGACGGGCGGAGAGGGCGCTCCGGGCGCCGCGGCCATCAGCTCACCAGGTAGCTGTGCATCTCGCGGGAGTTGATGCTGAGGACCACGCCCGAGTGGTTCCCTGGGAAACAGAGCCCTCTGAGCAGGCCGTGGCGGCGGGAGGCAGGCGAGCCAGCCCTGCAGGCCTGTCACAGGCTGCAGCCTGCACGTGGGAGGGGGTTCCAGGGGCTGCGGCAGCGTGTGTGTGTGTGTGTGTGTGAGTGTGTGTGAGTGTGTGTGAGTGTGTGTGGGGGGGGTGCGCTGGCTTTGTTGGCAGTCCAGCTGGGCCCCAGCTCCGCCTCCTATGGGTTAAGAGGGCGGGGGGGCCGTGGGAGGGTGGGGGGCGTGGGAGAGCATGGGAGGGTTTGGGGGATGTGGGGGGCCGTGGCAGGGTGTGGGAGGGTGTGGGGACTGTGGGGGGCTGTGGGAGGGCCTGGGGGGCCGTGGCAGGGTGTGGGAGGGTGTGGGGGCTGTGGGGGGCCGTGGGAGGGTGTGAGGGCTGTAGGGGGCTGTGGGAGGGTGTGGGGGCTGTGGGGGGCCGTGGCAGGGTGTGGGAGGGTGTGGGGGGCCGTGGGAGGGTGTGGGGGCTGTGGGGGGCTGTGGGAGGGTGTGGGGGACCGTGGCAGGGCGTGGCAGGGCGTGGGAGCTGTGAGAGGACAGGGTGAGTTTTGGGGGGTGGGGCCACGGGGTCACCTAGGGTCGGCGGGTGGAGGTCGCCGTCCATGAACTCCTCGGGCTGCACGGGGCCGGGGCCGGCCTGGCCGTGGCCCAGCGGGCTGGTCATCTCCTGCTCCTTGGCGTTGTGCATCTGCGCGTACACCGTCCGGTCCGGCCGCTTCCTGCGGGCAGAGGGCTCAGGCCCCGCAAGGCCGCCCACCACAGGGCCCCCCCAGGGCCCCCCCACAGGGCCCCCCTCAGGGCTCCCCACAGGGCCCCCCACAGGGCCCCGCCCCGGCCGCCCCCCCACAGGGCCCCCCACAGGCCCCCCACAGGGCCCCGCCCCGGCCGCCCCCCCACAGGGCCCCCCACAGGCCCCCCCACAGAGCCCCCCACAGGGCTCCCCCCACAGAACCCCCCACAGGGCCCCGCCCCGGCCGCCCCCCACAGGGCCCCCCACAGGGCCCCGCCCCGGCCACCCCCCCACAGGGCCCCCCACAGGCCCCCCCACAGGCCCCCCACAGGGCCCCCCACAGGCCCCCCCACAGGGCCCCCCACAGGCCCCCCCACAGGCCCCCCACAGGGCTCCCCCCACAGGACCCCCCACAGGGCCCCGCCCCGGCTGCCCCCCCAGGGCCCCCCACAGGGCCCCCCACAGAGCCACCCAGGACCCCCACAGGGCCCCCCAGGACCCCCCCAGGGCCCCCCACAGGCCCCCCCACAGGCCCCCCACAGGGCTCCCCCCACAGGACCCCCCACAGTGCTCCGCCCCGGCCGGCCCCCCAGGGCCCCCCACAGGGCCCCCCACAGTGCCACCCCGGCCGCCTGCCACAGGCCCCCCCGCCGGGTCCCTCTGAGGGCGGAGCAGGGGGGTGCTGGGACCTGAGGGGGTCAGACGGCGAGTGCCCCACGCCCCACCCCCAGCCACGGCAGGTCCTGCAAACTCCCACCCTCCTGGGGTCTGGCCACCAGCCTGCTGAGGGGGCAGAAGGGGGGCCTGCAAAGGGGGGTCCTGAGAGGGAAGGGGCCCTGAGGGGGGTGGGGACCCTGAGGGGGGAGGGGGCCTGAGGGGGAAGGAACCCTGGGGGGGAGGGGGCCTGAGGGGGGAGGAGTCCTGAGGGGGGAGGGCATGTGGAGGGGGCCCGGGGGGAGGGGGCCTGAGGGGGGAGGAGTCCTGAGGAGGGAGGGCATGTGGAGGGGGCCGGGGGGAGGGGGCCTGAGGGGGGAGGGGGCCGGGGGGAGGGGGCCTGAGGGGGGAGGTGTCCTGAGGAGGGAGGGCATGTGGAGGGGGCCGGGGGCCTTGCCTTTTGAACTTGTAGAGCAGGAGGCCTCCCACGGGGAGCAGCCCGAGGACCAGGAGCACGGCCACCACCCAGGCACCACCGCCGCTGCCCGGCCGCCGAGAGCCTGCAGGGAGCACGGGTCAGCGAGGCAGCGCCCGCCTGCCGGACGGAGGAGGCTCCGGGCCGGGCAGCGAGTCCGGGGCCAGGGGGCCAGGCCCAGGAGCCGGCCAGGCGGGAGGGACGCTCCTGGGACGGGGGACAGGCCCTGTGCGTGGACCTACCGCACGGCCACGCGCTCCCAGCTCCCTGATGGGAGACCGGGGGGGAGGGGGTGACACCCTCAGAACCACAGCTCCCTGCGGAGCGGAGCCCAGGCCCTGAGCGACCACCCGGTCCCACGCAGTGGAGGTCGGAGGCCGCCACGCCCGCCTCCCTGCGGCCCCGACTCACGTGTGTCCGGCCCGAGGGCCACCAGCACGCGGACGCCGGCCCGCAGGGGGAAGCTGATCTTCTGCGCGCTCAGCGCCTGCCGCACGGCCGCCGGGCTCTGCAACAGAGGGCGTGAGCCGGGCCACGGCGGGCGGGCCACGGGGGCGGGCCACGGGGGCGGGCCACGGGGGCGGGCCACGGGGGCGGGCCACGGCAGAGGGCCACGGCGGGGGGGGCCACGGCGGGGGCCCACAGGGGCGGCCACGGGGGCGGGCCACGGCGGGGGCCCACGGGGGCGGCCACGGAGGTGGGCCACGACGGGGGGCCACGGGGGCGGGCACGCGGGGCCTCTGCGTGGCGGGTGTGGCCGTGTGTGGGGTGCCTCCGTGGGACACCCGGCTCTCCTTGCTCCGGGCAGGCCCGGCTCCAGGGCAGCACTGGAGCCAGGAGGCCATCTGCTCACGGAACGGGGGTCCCGGCTGTGCGGCCCGGCGTGGCCGTGACCCGCCACCAGGGTTCCTGTGTGCCAGCGTGAGGTCTCCTCCGAGCACCAGGGGAGTGGACGCGCCCCTCCTGCCTCCTCTGCCTCTTGCCCTCCGCTCCCGAGCGGCCTGCCTGCGGCCGAGGGGGCGTCTCCCCTGGGGGCGGGGCAGGGCAGGGGCAGTGCTGTGTGTGCCCGGGCCCAGCCCGCACAGCGGTCAGCGCTCACCTGGGAAACAGGCCCTCACTGCCGCCTCCCCTGCCCCGCCCTCCCCCAGGAACCCCGGTGGGGGCGGAGCCACAGGCGGGACGCCCTTGGGAGAAGCTGGGGTCCCTCCGTCCATGGCCGGGGCCGCAGGCACAGGCGCGCTCCGCGGCCGCACGGCCTGTGCCCTGAGCCTTTAGTTTTGACTTCAGCTTCCTATGCGCACGTGCTGCGGGTTAGGCCCTCGGCACAGTGTGCGGCTGCTGCTGCCCCGCTCCAGCTTCCACCGCCCCCCGCCTGCTCTGGCCCTGCCGCAGACACGGGCCACGGAACCGTGCCGGTGCTGGCTTCTCCCACGTGGCGCCGGGTCCTCCAGGCTCAGCCGGGGCAGCACGTCCGGGGACGAGGCCTCCCGTGGGCGTGCCCTGGGCTGCGGGTTTGCTGGTGGGCGGGGCAGCTTTCTGCTCTGCCTGACCCCGGCCCTGGGTCCCCGTGACAGCACCCCGCAGGGCGGCGGGACCCCAGACCAGCTCCACGGTGACTGGGATGGGGTGGGGGGTGGTCGTGCCCCGTGCCCCCCCCCGCCCCCCGCTCCCCTCGCTGTGACGGGAGGTGAGCTCGGAGGCCAGGGGCCCGGGGGAGGCAGCCCGCCTGGATGGGGCTGAGGAGGGCGAGCTCGCGGTCTCCCGGTGGTGGCCGCCGGAGGAGGCGGCCGTGCCCGCAGGTACCTGGTCGCCGGAGGCGCTCCTCATCCTCGAGGGCCCGGGCGGGGGCGGCAGCACGTACAGGCTGGCCGCGGTGGGCAGCCCCGGCTCCAGCACCGTCACCAGCAGCTCCGCCGGGATGGCCGTCTCCTGGGGGTGGACGCCACACGATGCACGGCCAGGCCCCCCCACCGGCCCTGCCCGGCCAGGCCACCCCTCACACCGGCCCCGCCCGGCCAGGCCCCCCCCCGACCGGCCCCGCCCAGCCAAGTCCCCCCACACACACCGGCCCCGCCCGGCCAGCCCCCCCACACACACCGGCCCCACCCGGCCAGACCCCCACACACACCGGCCCCGCCCGGCCAGGCCCCCACACACCGGCCGCGCCTGGCCAGCCCCCCCACACACTGGGCCATTCCTCTCCCCAAGGCACTGTGAACGCCCCCCACCCCCCGGCTAATGTCCTTCTGAGCTACAGGGCTCAGCTCATGCGGGCCCCTCTGCCTCCTGGAAGTCCCATCCCTGCACTTCCAACTAGCAAACTCCTATTCATCCTTCAAAGCCCCGACAATGAGACCAGCATCACTCATGGGCCGAGAGGAGGCCTGGCCGTGGGCCTCAGCCTGGGCGACCAGGGCCAGGGCCTCGCCGTCCTGGGCCCCCTCGGACGCACTGCCCCGGGGAGGCTCCGCCACACGGCTCTGCTCCGGCTCCAGGGTCTGCCCCAGAGGATTCTGGATGCAAACAGCCGGTGCCCCGTAGATGTGCTCAGGGTGCTGTCCTGTGCCCCCAGCTCCATGCCTCCTGAGCCCGGTGTCAGCCCCCGCCCGGCCGGGCCCTCGCGGTGGGGAGCGGGGCCTGGGGGGGGGGGGCAGGCGCGCACCTTGGCGAGCAGCCAGCTGACCACCTGGCCGACGTCCTCTCTCCACTCGGGCGTGTTGGGGTTGTAGGTGTCCAGGTTCGGGGAGAACTGCAGAGGCACCACCTCAAACTGGTCTGGAAGAGGCCGAGGGGGGCTGCTCAGGCCCGGGCGCCCGGCCCGGCGCCTGGGGAGACGGTCCACGCAGCCGGGTACCCCAGGCCGCGCCGCCATCGGCCATGGGATCACGGCAATGACCACAGTGAGGGCGCGGGGGCAGCACCGAGGCTGCGGCTGTTTTTAAAAAATGTGTTTTTATTGATGTCAGAGAGGAAGGGACAGGGAGACATCAATGAGGAGAGAGAACCATGGACCGGCTGCCTCCTGCTCACCCCACACTGGGGATGGAGCCCGCAACCTGGGCCTGCGCCCTGACCGGGAATCCAACCATGACCTCTTGGTTCATAGGTCAACGCTAACCACTGAGCCCGCCGGCCGGGCAGGACCAGCTCTTAAAGCCAACTGGTCTGTACTGGCGGCCAGGGCAGCGGCACTGCTGGGAGTGGGGGGTGGGGGTCCCTCCCATCCTGAGGAGACGTTTCTATGGCGACGTCTCCCCCGAGGGCCGCAGTGAGCCCAGGGCCAGAGTCCCCGGAGGAGGCGCCCCGGGCGGAGCCGGGAGGGAGCCGAGGACTCACCCAGCACGCGGACCACCTTGGAGGCCTGCAGCACGGAGCTCCCGCAGGCCGCCTGCACCGTCACACGCACCTCCCCCGTGTCCGCAAACCGCGTCGTCATGGAGTTGTTCAGCGACAGCAGGGGCTGCGGGGCAGGCGGGTCAGGCCGAGCGGCTGTGCCGGGAGCGGGGCTGCCCTCACGGCGGGGAGCGCCCGGCGGGGAGGCCCGGGACCCGCAGGCACACCCTGCTGCCTGCCCAGCCTCCTCTGGAGACGGCGCAGGTGTAGGCGGGCCTCAGGCTGGGCCGCCACCCGACCCACCACCTCCCAGCCCCGCTCGGCGGCCACGTCCCTCAGCGCCGGCCCACGGGCGGGCGCACCTCACCACCCGGCGGGGGCAGGGCTGCCTCGGCCTCTCGCGGGACACAGAGGCTCTGGGAGGGCCAGGGACCAGCCGAGAGCGTGGCTGGAGGAGGCCGAGCTGCGATTCGAACCCAGAGCCAGGGCCCCATCCTCGACCTGCCCACCACAGGGGGCACCCCAGGAGCCCAGCCCGCCCTCCCCAGCGGGCGCCTGTGGGACCAGGGCCGCGGAGTCCGGGCGCACCTGCAGGCTGGGGCCGATCCACCAGTAGAAGACCGTGAGGTTGGGGTTCAGGGGCAGCAGCACGGCGGTCAGGGCCACCTCCTCGTTGATGCCAACGACGGGCACCACTTCGAGGTAGAGGGCCTCCAGGGGGGCTGCACGTGCAGAGAAAGGTAGGGTCAGAGGGCAGCAGGGCACTCAGCTTTTCAGAGGCTGCTCTGGTCACTGACATCCTCAACATAACATGAGTACCATCACCACCACCTTCAACACCACCACCACCACCACCATCACCACCATCACCACCACCACCACCATCACCACCATCACCATCATCACCACAACCACCATCACCACCACCACCATCACCACCACCATCACCATCACCACCACCACCACCATCACCACCACCACCACCATCACCACCATCACCACCACCACCACCACCATCACCACCATCACCATCACCACCACCATCACCACCATCACCATCACCACCACCATCACCACCACCACCACCATCACCACCACCACCACCACCACCACCATCACCATCACCATCACCACCACCACGACCACCATCACCACCACCACCACCATCACCACCACCATCACCACCATCACGACCACCACCACCACCACCACAATCACCACCATCACCACCATCACCACCACCACGACCACCATCACCACCACCACCACCATCACCACAACCATCACCACCACCACCACCACCACCACCATCACCACCACCATCACCACCACCACCACCACCATCACCATCACCATCACCACCATCACCACCACCACCACCACCACCACCATCACCACCATCACCACCACCATCACCATCACCATCACCACCACCACCACCATCACCACCACCATCACCACCATCACCATCACGACCACCATCACGACCACCATCACCACCATCACCACCACCACCACCACCACCACCATCATCACCATCACCACCACCACCACCATCACCACCACCACCATCCCCCCAACAACAGCCCTGCAGACCCCAGTGAGGACTGAGGCGGTGGGGCTGGCCCTCGCTCCGGCGCTGTGGGGAGGCCCGGGCCCGGGGACTCACGGTTGACCTGGACGAAGAGCACGGCCTCGTCCTGCCCCGCGGCGTTCTCCGCCCGCACGGCCACGCGGTACACGCCCGGGCTCTCGTAGCGGTGCCGCACGTGCTCGCTGCGCAGCGTGAGGTTCACGGCCAGGGGCGCGGAGCCGTCGCCCAGGTCCACCCGGTGCCTGGTGGTCAGCACGTCGCCCTGTGGGAACCCCACGAGGCGCTGGGTGTGGCCGAGATGCCCGCTGGCTCACCCCCTCCTCCTCCACACCAGCAGGCCGGGCCCCAGAGCCAGCCTGGGCCGGAGCCCTGGAGGCGGGGGGTTCGAGAGGGCGAGCACCCGCTGCGGAGAGGGGGCGGGCGTGGGGGAGACCGAGGCAGAGCCAGGGCCAGGAGCGTGGCCGGGGGCCGTGTGTGCGGGGCGTCCGCCCACAGGAACAGAGACACCCTCTTCCCGGGGCCTGCGGGCCGGACCTTCCTGTCTCCCCCTCCGCGGCCACGAACTCCGTGCTCCGTCTGCCCCTCCCTCACCGCCCCCCGCCCCCGCGCCCACCCACGGGAACGCCGGGGAGCCACGTCCCAGCGGCAGACGGGACAGGCGCTGCTGACCGAGCAGCAGTCCCGCTCACACCTGCCGCCCCGCCCGGAGACCACCCCCTCGCTCGCCTCCCCCGCGAGGAGCAGTGGCTGGGTGTCCGCCCCGAGTCCACGGCCCGGGCCTCAGCTCAGGGGAACGGGCGTCCGCAGGAGCCCTGGATGGGGTGTCAGAGGAAGGAGGGGATTCGGACACAGACGCGGGGACTGGGCTGCTGTGGCCACAGCCAGGAAGGCAGGGCGTCCCCGGAGCCTCCGGGCTGCGCTGCACGGTCCGGCCCGGCCAGGGCAGAGCGGCACCCGGGTGCCTGTCCATCCCCCGAGGGCTCCGGGGGCCGCCCTGTCCGGCCGTCAGCAGAGCTGCGGGAACGCTGTGCGGGTGTTTGGGTGACACAGGCTCCCCCTCGCTGGGGGGCGCCCAGGGGTGCACCTCCCGATCCCCCTCCCACCCCCCGCCAGAGTTGCAGGGTGTGAAGAAGCTGCCCGCTGTTTCCCGGAGTGGCTATCCCACCAGCCTCACGCCAGGCCCCGCCCTCCAGGCGCTGGGCTGTGGGTTTCCTCTTAGCCGGCGGTGGGCCTGTGCACGCCTGGCGCTCTGTTGCACCCCCCGTGGCGAAAGGTGGGGTGTCCCTCTGTCCTGGCTCACTGCCTGAGGGCGGTGTGTCCTCACTGCGGGGCTCTCAGTCCTTAGTTTATTTTTTTTATTTTTAGAGAGAGAGGGAGGGCGAGGGAGGGAAGCATCGATGTGAGAGTGGAGCATCGATCAGCTGCCTCCTGCACGCCCCCACCAGGATGGAGCTGGCAGCCTGGGCCTCGCCCTGACCGGGAATCGAACCGGCGACCACTCAGGCCTCCCGCTGAGCCGGCGGCAGGGCTAAGGTCCCTGCGGTGTGGCTCCGGCCGAGCCGCACGTGGCTGTCATGCTCTCTGCCCCGGCCTCCCCGTGCTCCCCGCGGCCTCTCAGAGCGCGCTCGCTGAGCCGTCCGTGATGACACCCCCTGCACGGCCCCCGCCCGCCGGCCACACGGCCCCCCGCCCGCCGGCCCACACGGCCCCGCCCGCCGGCCCACACGGCCCCCGCCCGCCGGCCACACGGCCCCGCCCGCCGGCCCACACGGCCCCCGCCCGCCGGCCACACGGCCCCCGCCGGCCCACACGGCCCAGCCCGCCGGCCACACGGCCCCCCGCCCGCGGCCACACGGCCCCCGCCGGCCAACACGGCCCCCGCCCGCCGGCCACACGGCCCCGCCCGCCGGCCACACGGCCCCCGCCCCGCCGGCCACACAGCCCCCGCCCGGCCACACGGCCCGCCCGCCGGCCACACGGCCCCGCCCGCCGGCCACACGGCCCCCGCCGCCCACACGGCCCCGCCCGCCGGCCCACACGGCCCCCGCCGGCCCAACGGCCCCGCCCGCCGGCCCACACGGCCCCGCCCGCCGGCCCACACGGCCCCGCCCGCCGGCCAACACGGCCCCCGCCCGCCGGCCCACACGGCCACTCTCCCGAGGGCGTGCGGCTCCCACCGCGCGGACATCGCCCGGAGCCGACGGCCGGCGTGAGGCTCCGGTGAACGTGGTCTTTACGGGTGTCACCCGCTGACACCTCCCCAGGGGGGTCCAGCCGGCCTGTGTGCGTCTGTGCCGGTTCCCTTAGTGTCGCTTTAACTCAGGCCGCCGGGGAGCCTGTGCCTGGCCCAGAGCCATTTCCACACTGCTTGGCCTGGGTGAGTGTGTGTGTGTGTGTGTGTGTGTGAGCATGTGTGTGTGTGAGTGTGTGTGTGTGTGTGTGAGTGTGTGTGTGAGAGTGTGTGTGTGTGTGTGAGTGTGTGTGTGTGAGCATGTGTGTGTGTGTGTGTGAGCGTGTGTGTGTGTGTGTGTGTGAGTGTGAGTGTGTGTGAGCATGTGTGTGTGTGTGAGCATGTGTGTGTGTGTGAGCGTGTGTGTGTGTGAGAGCATGTGTGTGTGTGAGAGCATGTGTGTGTGTGTGTGTGAGAGTGTGTGTGAGTGTGTGTGTGTGTGTGTGTGAGCATGTGTGTGTGTGAGTGTGTGTGTGTGTGTGTGAGAGTGTGTGTGTGAGTGTGTGTGTGTGTGTGTGTGAGCATGTGTGTGTGTGAGTGTGTGTGTGTGTGTGTGAGTGTGTGTGTGTGTGTGTGTGAGTGTGTGAGTGTGTGTGTGTGTGTGTGTGTGAGTGTGTGAGTGTGTGTGTGTGAGCATGTGTGTGTGTGTGTGTGAGCGTGTGTGTGTGTGTGTGAGTGTGAGTGTGTGTGAGCGTGTGTGTGTGTGTGAGCATGTGTGTGTGTGTGAGCGTGTGTGTGTGTGAGAGCATGTGTGTGTGTGAGAGCATGTGTGTGTGTGTGAGAGTGTGTGTGTGTGTGTGTGAGAGTGTGTGTGTGAGTGTGTGTGTGAGTGTGTGTGAGTGTGTGAGTGTGTGTGAGTGTGTGAGTGTGTGAGAGCATGTGTGTGTGTGTGTGTGTGTGAGTGTGAGTGTGTGTGTGTGAGAGTGTGTGTGTGAGTGTGTGTGTGTGTGTGTGAGTGTGTGTGAGTGTGAGTGTATGAGTATGAGTGTGTGTGTGAGAGTGTGTGTGTGAGAGTGTGTGTGTGTGTGTGAGTGTGAGTGTGTGTGTGTGAGCATGTGTGTGTGAGAGTGTGTGTGAGTGTGTGTGTGTGTGTGAGTGTGTGTGAGTGTATGAATGTGTGTGTGTGAGAGTGTGTGAGTGTATGAGTGTGTGTGTGTGTATGAATGTGTGTGTGTCTGAGTGTGTGACTGTGTAAGTGTGTGTGTGTCCATGAGTGTGAGTGTGTGTGTGCAAGGGGCCCTCCTTGTGCCCCACCCTCTCCCCGGCTTCAGCGAGGAAGCCAGTGGCCCCCAGGCAGCCTCCGCCCCGGGGCCTCTCCTCTGAGCGCCTCCCGGTGGGTGGCCCCCTCACCCCTGACCCAGCCCCATGGAACCAGGCCGGGCAGCGGGTGGCACCCAGGCTCCAGCTCGGAGGATCCGGGCAGAGTGGCAGCTGCCGGGCGCTAGGGGGCAGCAAAGGGCCGTGTGTGCTGGAAGTTCTCCTGGAACTCGGGGCAGCGGCCTACACAGCCCCCAGCCTAGTCCCCGCAAACCCAGGGAGCCCCCAAACCCAGGGAGCCCCCAAACCCAGGGAACCCCCAAACCCAGGGAGCCCTCAAACCCAGGGAGCCCCCTAACCCAGGGAGCCCCCAAACCCAGGGAACCCCCAAACCCAGGGAGCCCCCAAACCCAGGGAACCCCCAAACCCAGGGAGCCCCCAAACCAGGGAACCCCCCAAACCCAGGGAACCCCGCAAACCCAGGGAACCCCCAAACCCAGGGAGCCCCCAAACCCAGGGAGCCCCCAAACCCAGGGAACCCCGCAAACCCAGGGAACCCCCCTAACCCGGGAGCCCCCAAACCCAGGGAACCCAAACCCAGGGAGCCCCCAAACCCAGGGAGCCCCCAAACCCAGGGAGCCCCCAAACCCAGGGAACCCCCAAACCCAGGGAGCCCCCAAACCCAGGGAACCTCCAAACCCAGGGAACCTCCAAACCCAGGGAACCCCCAAACCCAGGGAGCCCCCAAACCCAGGGAACCCACAAACCTAGCCTAGCCCCCCAAACCCAGGGAACCCCCTAACCCAGGGAGCCCCGCAAACCAGGGAACCCCCAAACCCAGAGAGCCCCCAAACCCAGGGAACCCCAAACCAGGGAGCCCCCAAACCCAGGAGCCCCCAAACCCAGGGAGCCCCGCAAACCCAGGGAACCCCCAAACCCAAGGAGCCAGGCAGGGCCTCTCCGATGGGAGCAGAGGGGCGCAGCGCGGGCTGTTTGTAATTCGCGTCCCCGCACGTGTCTCACTTCCCTGCTTCCTGTCGGAGGTGCCCCATGAGCGCGTCCCGTCCGCAGTGGACGGGGTGACAGGAGGACGGACAGCCCCGGGGACAGGAGTCTGGGGATATTCACATTCCTGCTGTTTCTACGTGTTCGAGTGTTCTATATTGAGTACATACTATTTTTAAAGC